GAGTTGGAAAAGCAGTCTAATTGGCTTCCTTTTCTGGAAGTTATGCATTTTCAAAGTGTGAACTTGAACTCCCATGGGCCTGAAGCCTTATGCTTGTTACACATTTAACTTACGTTGGTATTACCTGTTGAGCATAATTAAAATTTGATGTTGAATTTGCAGCTTAACATAATGTATTTTTGCATCAGAATTGACAGTAGCCTTTTTTGTTATTTCCTGCTTTTTGTCTGTACATTTGACAGCTTTGCTGCCTTGTTTTTAATCCAGTGTGCACATTTTCATTTAGTTTGAGAGCTTTTGGAAAAATGGAGAATGTATGAATTACTCACAACGGTAAAAGGTGAAGCAGACCAACAGAATAAGTATGTCAAAAGAATGAATATCAGGTTTTAATATTAAACCTAAATGTATTTTTATAACACATTCATACATATACACTTAGGATTTTAAAAATTTTTTCTGATTTATTGCCTCTAGTGATAAGAATTGGTAAGAAGTCAAAGGACACATCAGAAGCCAAAAGAGAAGCTGTGGAGGGGATCAGCAGGATGATCTGTACTACAAAGAGCCAAAACAGCACTCTCAGTGGTGAGAATAAGAAATCTAGGTTTTTATTTTTATTAGGAATAAGTGTTTTCAATGTATACCTGAAGATGGTTAAAAGCAAAGAATTTTATTCTTTTGTATCAGAACAAAAGCAAGTTATTGAAGAGAACGATTAGCAGTGTATAACTTGAATGTGCATTGTTTTAAGAAAAGCATTAATATTGGACATAATGCACAGAAGCTTCAAATGCTTTGTGACAGTGTTTTTGATTAACGAAGAGATTAACTTTTCATCAGGCATTTAATTTAAGATATTTTAAATACAATCTTTATACATTGTAATGGGGTAACTTAAAAGTGTACGAAACCTTTCAATGCATCTTTCATTATTATTATTATGCATCATTATCATTGCAAAAAGTATGCAGATCTATCAAGTTACTTAGTGTATGTTTTAATTTTTCATCGATATGCACCAGTATGCATATGCAGTCGCTAATCACAATGACTTAATTACAGTATATGTGATTAATTATAAGCAAATACAAACAAATTTAAAGATCTTGATTATTTATTTTCCAGTTGTAATTGATGGCCATGAATGGACGGGTGTGAAATTCTTCCAGCTGTCCTCCCAGTGGCAGACACACATCAAGCACTTCCCTGTGGCAATATTTGGACATGTGGAAACAGCCTGCTAGCAGAACAAATAGAGAGCACACGAGTTTTGTCTTCAGAGGTCTCTTCATCAATTTGTTGGCCGGTGCGCACATTTTATTCTTGTAAAAAAGGGGGAACTCATGCTCTAGGTGTGGGTATTCATGCATCAGATGCATTGAAGCTTAGGTTAAATCTTGGACATAAATCCACAATGTTGTCCGTTGTGTATCGCCTTTGCATTGTACCATATAAATACCTAACAGAGATTGAAGGAGGGTTTTTTTTTCATACGGTTCAAGTGTTCCAGATTGCATTATCTTACAGCTCACTAAAATGAACTTCAATTTAAGAAGTTACATTTAACAAGTTTTCCATTATTCAGAGAAGGGTGTTTCTCATTTCACCAGTGTTTGGGGGAATACATTTCATTGTTGAAAATTGGATTTCATTACCCAAAGGAATTTTTTTTTTTTTTTTTTTTTTTTTTTTTTTTGCATATTGTACTTTGCTACCCACATTTATTGTTGTCATTCTCTTCCTAGGTGCAATGAGATTACCTGAATAATTGTAGTAAAACCATTATATATGATATGAAACTGTTTTTTAACTGACCAATCATACTCTCCACTGTACTGGCTGTACTATTGTTAGAATGTGTAAAAATTATATATACATGTATTGAACTCCTGGTCAGTGTTCAGCTTATTCCTGTTAAACAGGCTGATCTTTAGTTGACTTTGTAACAAGTTTTTATATGTGCCAAAACAATGTGTAACATGACTAAAATAGCTACTGATAACAAATATGGATAGACAAAATGTATGGGTTGGTTTTAATAGGTTCCCCTATTTTCTGTTTGCTAAGTAGGTTTTTATTGGTGCTCTAGCATTTGTTGGTGAGCAAGCAGAGAGCTGATGATGTGTACGGTGCTCCACAGATTACAGTAACCTGTAACATTTTGCTGATTTGTATGTGAATAGTGCTTTCTATAGGTCTGAACTGAAAAGCTCCACTTCTGACTGGTGGCCAGCTGCTGTAGATGGCTGCAGTGTGCCTTTTTTTATGTCACAGTTATTTACTTTTGTCCAGAGTTGAATTACTAGCTGAACCATTTCTCTCTCTCTCTCTCTCTCTCTTCAGTACTTTTTGCACATTCTGAAACAACGCTCATTTATTAGAATAAGAAATATTGTCTGATTCTTATTGGTCTATCTTTGATATTTTCACATTTTAGACAATTTGGTTGTGATGTTTGAAATCTTTCAGTATGTGTTGGCATTTTAAGTTTTGAGAAAATGTAAATTGGGCATCGAATCTTAATTAGTATTGTCTTCAGTATAGCATTGTTTATTCCACCATGGAGTTGACTAAAAACAAATAACTATTCTCTTATGTGGTAAAACAAAAAGGCTCATTTATGTTTGTTATTTAAAATATTTTGGAAGAAATTGAACTGAGAATCAACTTACAACTTAAATAATGCTGAAGAGAAAGTTTTTTTTCTAATTAAACATATTTTGACTGTGCTCTGGAATCTTAAACACAAAAGGCTTGAGCATCAGTTGCCATTAATCTCCTTAAAAAACATCATATACATAAATCCTACATTCTAGATCAATTTCATTGCATTCAACTTTACCGAAATTCTTTTCTTGTTGTTATTAATTCTAGTTGTGATGATAAATGTCATTTACTGGTCCAATTTAATAGTTAAGAAGATTCATTATTAGTCATATAATGCTAATTATTTAAAAATTGTTATTTTATCCCACTGAAACCCCAGACACATTTCTACTCTTAAACTTATGAAGTAAATGTGATGTGAGATCAATTTTTTATGTTTTTTATCAAGGTGAAGTTAACTAGGCTTAATTGCTTTTAATCAAAGTGTGCTTTATGTATATTTTACATTTGGTGCTTTTAATGCTTGCATGTGGCCTTTCATTTTCATTTTCTTTTTCTTTCAATGCAGAATAATCATCGAAAAAATGCTCCTGTATATTAGATCCTTCTGGTACATACTTCTCGAAAAGAACAAAAATGGTGAGCAGTTTATCCTCTTTTGTTTATTTTCTTTTTTATGATTTCTCTAGTGTTTTCTGTAAAAAGGCATTTTTCAGTGGCTTCAAAATAAAGGTTTTCCTTTCCTTTGAGAAAGTTTGTTCATACCTGTTTTTCAGTCTGATGCTGTAGTGATCTTCATTATAATTAGGACTTTTTTCAAGTAATTTGCTATTACTGTAGGGCTGTGTATTATAAATAGAGATCAATCCTGCAATAGGAGTTAGATAATGTTTATCAATGTGTTTAATATGATTGTTGAATACCTCGAGGTGCAGGGCCAATATCAAAATATTTCATGTAACAGGAATTGTCTTCGTAAAGAAAATATTGTAAAGAAATAATCACGTTTTTGATCTCTCTGCTGGGATTTGTGTAGCACTAGTAAAGTTAAAATTAATTAAATTTGCAGTAAAAACTTAAGATTCAAATGTTCCATTCACTGAATTTCACTGTGAAGATATTCAGTGTGTCTTATTCTGGTTTCAAGGTTGCCAGGTCTCAGACAATCTTAGACATTGGAGAGAGTTGCAGGTATATTTCTGTGTGTACTCAGAGTTTATTCATTTCCATTCAGTATTCAGTTGAAGATATATTTCTTAGCTCATTAGCTTAAAACAAAAATATCAACAACAAAAAAAATTGGTGCTGATTTTGCCAATACCCAAGCAATATGTTTGTGTCCAATAGTTCAGAATGCGAGGTAATGCTTAGTTGTATCGTAAATAAGGTGTTAAAATATTATGTCAAGAAATGTTCTGGCTTTTACTGTTACAGAAAGAGGCATTCAGTGTGTTGTAGAAGATTATTTTGTACAGGCCAATATGAATTATTTCCTCTAAATTTATTTTGCACGTTTATACATGATGTTACAAAACCATTTATTTATCTGCAATGTGATCTCCAAAAATTGTTTTTTAAACAAGCGTGGAGAGAAAGGGTAACACAGATTATGAAAAATAATCTTACTTTACCTAACATTAACTTCGGTTGAAACCACACTTACATCACAATTATTGAATAATTTTGTTAAGTCCAAGTGTATTAATGATGTATGCATGTACATTTTATACAATAAAATGCTATGAAATATCATGTTTGTTCAATATCCTGTTCACTGTCATACAAACTGGTGATCTAAGTCTGTAATAGCAAATTTGCTACCATAGTGTATTGAACCACACAACTTATGGGCTTAATTCTTTCCTTATTTGACAGTAATCTTGGCAGCATTTTTATCAGCTACCGTATACTTGTCCCACTTCTTTTCTGGGTCATAAGGCTCCCATCGACTTGCAGGGAAAATGTGCTTGTTACGTTCATACCAGCTCCTCAAACAGACTTTCCCTGCGTGAGACTCGTCTTTCTCCACTCTGGCATCGCTGATCATGCGCACATCGTCATGTACATCAAAATTGAACAGCGGTCCACTTTTCCCTCGTGCTTTTGTTACAATGAAATCATAGAAAGTGTAGTGCTGTGGAATTATCAAGTCTTCTTTCACGTACATAAGCTGGTCAACAGAGCATGATTTTAATTCGGCAAACTCCTTTCGGAGTGTTTCTAAGCACCGTTGAAGAAATTGTTGAATACTGTTTCCTTTCTTCATTTGAACTGTCCTCCGGTGGCCTGAGCCATCCCAGTAGCTGTAAGTTATTTCAATGTTTTCGTTCTTAAGCTCTTCCTGTTTAGCAGCCCACTCCTGCCTTAACTCCTCCCTACAGAAAAGACGGAAAAAATATTTAATTGAAACAATCATCACTCTAAGTTTATCTGTATGTAAAAGCATTGTTACACAATCTCCCCACCCTGAGTATCAGTGGACACTTTCATATTTCTTATTAATGCAAGCCTGTCTTATCTAGAATTTGGAGGCATGCTGGTAATTGATCTGAAACTTGGGGTGATTCCCCCTATAATAGTGTGTGTACACCGAGAAGGTTCAAAAACAATAAAGAGACCATATAAGGATGTATTTAGCCAATAAATATATAAAATGTACAATATCAAGAATCAAATTACCTACTAAAAGAAACAATGAGCTAAAACGCTTAAAAAAATAGCAAAGAATTAAATAAATTTAGGACTTTGTATTCAAAAATTGTAACACACTTTCATCATAACTCAAATTGCTTTTATAGGAGATAATTTCATGGTATTAGAAACAACACTTTCGTATACCTGATCCTGTTTTCTTCTTCTTCTCTATCCTTGTCTGGTAGGAAGCTTGTGTCTACATCTGGATTCATTCCTGTTGTAAAAAAAAAAGCTTTTGTGGTTTTTATATCCATCAACCAATCAGGACGATGACTGAGCATGACAAAAACTAGCTTTTTAATCAAAATTTGCTCGCGTTTAGTTACACAGAGAAGTGTAGCACACAATGTTCATAATTCCAGTGCAAAGTGAAAAATAATTCTAATAATTTATAGTTAACATCTTGAATTATTTGGTTTGATTTAAAAGGTATGGGTCACTGACTGTATTGTCTTACCAAGCCTCTTTTTCTTCTTTTCTGTTTCAATTGACATTTTCTCTTCAGTTTTTTGTTGCTCCTCCTCCTCCTCCTCTTCTTCTTCTGCATCTTCCTCCACATCAAATGACAACATAGCTTTCTGTAAATAAAAAGTTTTTTTATTCCTTTTTTAATATGATCCTCTAGTGTTTTTATTTCAAAAAAAGATGACAGCTTTTTTTTCACTTTTAATTTTTTGTCAATGCCAAATTCGAAAGTTCTTGGAACATGCATGGTAATTTTTGTATTAAAAAATACTATCTTGCAGCAAACTTCACCTGTAATGCCCTTTTCTCTCTTTTTTTCTTTTCTTTTTCTCTTTCCTTATCCAACTTGCTAGCCCTTTCTTTCAGGGCAAGTTGTTTCTCTCTCTCTTTTATAACATCTTCCTGCTTTGCTTTCATTTCATCCAGTGTAACAAGACCTAAATTTCCAGAAAAATGCCATTATAAACAACCAACTCATTTAAATCAAATACATAACACATGTAAAACACATAACATTAATTTCAAATGCATTTTAAAAACATGAGTCCTACTAAGATAAGATAAGAGTTTATTTAGCTAATTATAAAAATCGGAAATCATTTTCCTTCTGGAGCGGTATACAGAGTAAAATAATAAAATAATACAATAAATAAATAAATGAAGAATTTAGTTTTGAGATCAAATTAAAATGCGTCACTGCACTTGGATAAAAGCTGTTTAAAAAGCGTTTACTGCCTTTAAAAGTTAAACAACATCAAATATATAAGCTTCAATTCTTACCAACTGTATCCGATTTCAACTGCTGTTCTATAGCATCATAGTGCGCAGCAAATTTATTATGAATGCTCCCAACTTGCAGTTCCTCTTCGATTTTCTTCTTCTTAGCTTCCATCTCATCGTGCTCTTTCTGTCGTTTCTTTATCAGCTGCATGGCTCGCCCTGCTTCCTTGGATGCTCCCTTGTAGAACGCCATCCTGGTCTGCTTTACAAACGAACAGGGAACTCTGTAATTAAGAGGTATGTTTCTCTTGGTAATTAAATGAGCAAATAAATAAATGTCAGTATTAATCCATATTTTACTATTTTAATTAATAATACGCCCTTATTTTTTGAGCCACCAAAGACAAAACATCAAAGAGTTTGTCAAATCGACTGGCAGTTCTCTGGTTATGCAGTGCTGATTAACGAAATCTATCTTACCTTTACAATAAGTAAGCCACGGATGGTCTGTTATCTTCAATTTGATAAAAAAAATCCTGAATGAATGAATATCGTATCAGTAACAGAGAAGTAGGGTGACCAACTTCTAGAACGGTGTAAGAATTTATGATGTCCTGAAATGAAAAGTAACAATACTTATCATGAGAACAAATGAATTGTAAGCAGAAAAACAATTATCTTTCATAAAAAAATATCAGATAATAGTCTATTGTGCTTTTAAAGTGTGAAATTGGAGAAATATTACAAAAACCTGGATTCGGAGTTTCCTCACTTACCAGGGGTCAAGGCCAGATTCTATGAGTACCCACAATGCACCTGGTTAGTTGATAGAAACCAAGATGGCTGTGGCAATTCCCACAGTAAAGGCGGCTGAGTCGATTGAAAACGACAGTGATATCACAAATAATTTACCTACTTTACAATTTGAAAGTGCATTAACCGATGAAGAAAAAGACCTTCTGGTACTTCGTGCGAGATCACACGCTATAACCGTGTCAGCATGTGCTCAGGCAACTTATTTGGCAGCTGTTTTTAATGAAATTAGGTGGGTGCACTTTGATTTTGTTTACATTCTGTAATACTAATATACTTTTGAAAATAATCAGTAAAGGCCTTTTGGTTTCTTGATATAAAGTCATAACACATTTAATTGGGAACATTGATACTCGTTTATAACAAAAATTTGAACAGCTTTTTATTTATACCAAATATTACAGTATATTGTGAATGTGAGCATAACCCAGACACAGCAGCTACAGTAGGCTTTTGTTATTGGAAGTCACACTTTATATGTATCATTATGATAAGATTCAAACAAAATACAATAATATGTATCTTCAGACAAATTCGAGCAGAACTTCGGCATCCAAAACTGAAGAAGTCCAAACTGTTACAGGAGGCAACCCCAAGGGATCCTCTTTTAGTTGGCATTATTGGTTGCGGGAAGCTGGGGAGTCAGCTGGCAAACTGTCTACTAACGTATGCAGATGTCAGACCTGAGGAGTTAAAAATTTCATCAAGAAGACCTGAAACATTAGGTTAAAAAAACAAACAACATGATATTTCATACTTTGTCTTTTAAAGTATGTAACAAAATATGTTGCAAGATATATTAATATGCTTTAATTACTACTGGTTTCCTACATTACAACTATACATGAACTTTTTAGTTACCATTCTACTTGAAAAGGATAATCTGATATAAAGCTAAAGACATTATAAGATATATGGGGAAAATATCAAAGTGGCTGAAATTTATTTTTCATCCAACCCCTTTTTAAAATTGCCTACAAATACTTTCTGATATGAAGACAGTTAAACCCCTATGCTTGATAACTTAATCAAGTGTAAATGACAGTAAAGGGCTATTATTCTACATAAAGATAATGTTAGGTATACATACCTAGGTAATGCCTCTTTTGATGATTTCTCACATGTAATATTAAACAAATGTTTTATCAGGCATACATCTGTCTGTTTCAGGTGATCTACAGGACAGAGGTGTGAGGTGCTTCCATGACAATGCCAGAGTGGCATCCTCAGTTCACTTGTTATTCATATGTGTCCTACCATCTCAGTTACAAACTGTTGGAGATGAAATCAAAGGACTCATTCCCTCTCAGTGTGTTGTGTATAGCCTTGTTAATGCCGTCCCCATTTCCAGATTGAAGCATTTGTTAGGCACCACAAATATCCTCAAACCTCAGTTTAAGTGGGACTTGGAGAATGGGAATTTGCCATGGGACTATACGCTTGATATCAATGGAGCAATAGAAACTATGTCAATGATGAAAAAGACGTGTCCTTTGTATCAAAATAAAGCTGGTGAGTTTTGCTGTAAGTAAGTTTTCAGAATGCATCTACTGTCATGAAAAATATTGTGTCAAACTGATTTTATAAAATTTAATATACTTTTGAGTTGAGAATATTTTGCTAGTGAACAAAAAATTCACATATTAATTTTACTTTAAAACTGCAATATCAGGTATTTGTTATTCTCTTTTTTTTTAAATGTAAAACCTAACTATATTTGGGGATTTTCAGATGCTATTGTTTATACAGAAGAAAAGTATGCAGAACTTTTGCTCTATACCATCATCAACTTTTGTACAAGCCTGCGACTTTGCAGACCAGAGGTGTTAGACATTCTAAATGCTGTGGTATTTGGACAAACTAATGGAGAGGATACTCCTGTAGTTAGAGAGAAGGAGATTACTAAGAAACCTGCAGATGCAGATAAGTAAGAACATGTTTTTTTTTTTTTTTGTAAAACCATCAAATTTCTTTCCTTGTATCTTTTTTTTCTTTTTGGTGGAACGTTCATTGTAATGATTCATTAATCCGATATTAAATCAAGCAACTTCTGCAAGGTTAGAAAGCCTATTTTATCCCATTTTATCCCATTGTCAAGAATTACTTGAGAGTATGATTCATTATTGGCTTCAAACAGGAATTTCTTTTTCAGCTTGTTTCCTAGATTTGACTTGACAGCACTAGCAGAGGGGAAGTTAACAACTCTTGGAAAAAAGATAATACGAGATGAGGCTGTGAGAGCAAGCTTTATCAAGAAATACTGTGGAGTCATTGAACAGTACTTACAGTGGAAACGATACCATGAAAATTTGAAAACGAGAGGATTTTGAATTAATTTTTTTAACTGATTGCAGGCTGTAAGATGATGGACATTTATCTTGTGTTTGTATGGCTGTGATATTGTATTGCACAGTTTGTACATACACACTGTAGGATGGTGTGTGTGGGGGGGGGGGGAGGCAATAAAACTTTTTCCATATATTTTTCGAATTAAGTGTTATGTGTTATTTTTGTCTGATTAAAGACCATGATTTTATGATTCTAAATAAAAAAAAATACTGTGCCTGAGCAGAAACAATGAAAAAGTCATTGTTGTTCTTTTCTCTGTCCAAATTAATTTTTTTTTTTTCATTTTATTTTCAATTAATTTTCATTATCAGGGCCTCTACTATAACATGCAAATATTTATTTATTTATTTATTTATATTTATTTGTTTTTATTAATAAAATTGTTCACTGCAATGATTTTAACTTTGGATTTTAATATTCGATTGTAATTTCACAATTAGTTTTAATAGGGGTTAGTATTTATTTTACCTATGTAGCATATCTAAGTTCCAGATATCTAATAGGGACTGCCGCATAAATCTTACATTGTCAACGCAATTTCCTTGTAGTCCAGTCATTATTCCAAACACACAGATTACAAACGCACATGTTCTCCCCAGACATCGTGGTCATCGTAAATGCGACACGCCCACTCATTCCAATCATTAGGTCATCCTCCAATATTCACGTGGTCAGCGTGACCACTAAACACGCAAGCGCAGTCGAACCGTCTTCTCCACACGATACGCTGACACGTGGAATGATTCTGAGAAGACTTCAATAAGGTACGAAATTTACCTGTCTGTTATAACTGACCACTTTCCTCCTTGCCTCAACCACCATATGGACTGTCTACTTATTTTAGCACACAGATCAATCCTAGCAGCGATTTCACCTATGCCACCTTCAATAATAATATTATACGATCTAGTTATTGTATTGAACGTTTGAAACGGTATTTCTGCTGAAGGACCGCTGGGTGCTCACCGTGACGACCATACAACTATTATTCCTCCCACATATTATAATATATTGGTGATTATACACGATCTGGAGTGCTGGACTGCCGTTGGTGTACAGTACATGTCGTGTTCTAAAGATGTGAAATTGTTTAATTTTCTTTTTACCTTGTTGCGTTATACCAGTTTTTAAAAATCGTTTTGGTGCCTGTTTAAGAACCCCGAAGCATGCTTATAGTAGAGAAACGAGACTCCAGTCTCCTCTGAAACTCGGGAGTGATTTGATTATTCCAAGGATCAGCTATTGTTTCAGTCTACTTAAAGAAAGGTGGCTGTTTACTTTAAGACAGTTCCATTTTTGCTTTGGTTTCCATAAACAAAGCTACCTTCAAAGTTGTGCTTGATAAAACACAGATAAATGACAAGATCGTTTACTAACAACTCAAGTACTTCAGTGGTTTAACATTATAATGCGTGCCTTTTCCTAATATATAAAATTTCAACTTTTTCGTAAAAAAACAACAAAGAAGCGATGAAGTATTGAAGCGTCCCAGGTAATGTCAAGGGCAAAACGTCAATTAAACAAGTATCTGTGCTTGTGCGTTGAAGATTCTGTTAAAGAAAACAAATAGTTAATATATTGAAAAAGTAATAAACTGTCAAACTGAAATGAAGTGAGAAACGCTGTTTCATATCAAGCTGTGGATATAAACACAAACGCAATTTGAAATCATTCTTTCAAGTGCATTTTCTGAGCAACGGGTTTTACGTTTCTTAACAACATGAAGAGAAATCTTTCTTTTAAAGGGTGAATAATTGGTGTGGAATGCTCCATTAAAACCAATTTGTATTTTTCTGTTTTACTTGATGCTTTATGTCAACTGTTCCCAATCATTTAAGTCATTTAATGTATTTCCGATATTGATTTAGTTTTTTTTTTTTTCGGACTGAACGAAATACGTTGTCATCACTCGACATTATGCGCCTAGTTGCTCATAATCTCGAATTTAGACCTAATTTATTTATTATTAAATACCATCCATAGAGTAGAAACATTTCAAACTTATCATGTTTTAACTTAAAAGTAACGCCAAATAATTGCAAAATATGAAACAGACATCTCGAAACAGAAACAATTTTCTTTCCATAATAAAATGATGTCCCAAGCTTGCTGTGATTTCACATGTAAAATATTTCAATGTCCGGAAAAAACTTTTTTTGATTTCGTAAATCTTACAATGCATGCATTTTCGCTCATACGCCTCTATTTCCTTTGTTTATATGTAAACTTTATACAGACAATTAGGGGATTGCTACTCCGTGCAGCCCTTGGCTTTCAACAGTCTCAGTGTTATAAGTAAACTTACTTGTCAGCACAAATGCCAACTCTGAATTGAGCAAGATTTATATAGCGATATATTTTTTTCCAATCTGCCGTAAATCTAATCGTGAAGTCCATTATAAACGGCTACCGCAATTTCACCAGTTATTTGTTTTATTTACGGTGTAAATGCCCCTGGTTTGTTTTACATACCTGCGTTTTTTAATGGTTTGTTTAGTAGCGAAGACCAAACTTTTCGCTGGTGATAAATGACCATTACTCGGTGTGCTGTCATTCGGTGACGTATGGGATAAACCGAGGGGTTGACAGGACCAATGTGAGAAACAACAAGACGTTCTATTTATACTTATGGTATACAACAACATCAATATCGTTTAAAATGCCTTGGCCTTTGCATGTGTGGTCTGTCCGTTTGTTCTCTGAAAAAAAAGATGTATCTGTCTGTTGTTGCTTTTTACGAAATTGAAAAGATGGTCACTTGTTTGGACATCTCTTGTGGAGGACCAAGAAAGTATTAAAAGACAAAAATATCCACAAATACATGATTAATCTATTACGTTTTAAGCAATTAATTCTAAACCACAAACATTATTAATTAGATGCCTACTCTGTAACGAGAAAATGGATTCCACCATTTCGTTTGCTGAGTATCTTCGGTGCCGTTGAGCCAGACCTCTCAACGCGGGGTATCATTTTGACTGGCAGACTGCAGACATCGATTTCAACGTCGAGTGTTTAAATTCATCAATTAACGAATTTGTCAAATCGTTTCAGAGCTAATTAGGCATTAGGTCTCTCAAAGGTGGGATTTATTTAGCTTTTATTGGAAGTTGTTATTGTTAATGGGTTCTAGATTGGGAGCGTCATTTTTCATTGCGCTCTTGACTTGACTTGCGTATACAAACAAATTGTCGTGAAAGTGACCACGGCGGGTTTGGAATGCTGTACCCTTTCAATCGCTTGTAGAAACTGGAGCAGAAAAAGGAAAGTATTCATTTAAAATGTATCTCTTACTTAATCTCTCATGTATATTAAGTAAAAAGGAACAGTTAAAAATACCAATCCTTCAAATATCTGCATTTGTAGGAAATATCATGAAATAGAAGTAATTTCTATTGAGAACGCACTTGTTTGTCTTCTTGCAGATTTCCTTGAACAATTGTTAGTTTAATAACATTTAATCCGATTTGAAGTGAAGTGCAAATAAATATGAAAATTGATTGTGCTATTTTGGGTTTCACCTAATAGAGCACTTTATTAGGTTATGCTACATTTTACTAGAATTACACGCGTTAGGCAATAAAAGATGCTTAGAAAACAGTCCCGAGAAACATCATCCTTAACGGCTGTTCATTCAATCGAGGGATATGTTTCGAAAATATGCCAACGTATCTGAAATATTACCCAAGATGCTATAGGTACTAGACACTTTTCGATGTACAGTATGGCTCGCATCACTTGGTGATCTTTCGCCGTATCAACTATAAAGGTTATGATAATAGCAATTCATTTAACTGTAACATAAACAGTAGCTTAACCTTGATATATCTTTTCTTGGCACTTCCGCTCGTTTTAAATGTACTGTGATGATAGAAAAGACTGTTGCTGAACTTTTATTTTTCCACTAACGCTTTCTTATCACACCTCTAGTGCGCATTGTTGGGGCAACACAAATAATGTCAAAGTGAAAAACAAGAGCAACGGTCCTCAAAGCTTTTTATACTTATTTGCTAAGTACACTCTTTCTCTCTGTTTATCTGGTTATCCCTAAAATGAAGCTTGATAAATGTCAGCTGCAAACCCCAAATTTGCCAATTGTCAGCTTAATTTTGAAAAACCGCAATTTTTAATCGAAAGCCATAGTCCAATTTAATTAGACGATGTGCAGAATGCCTTCGCACTTTTCCAGCTACGGTTCACAAATAAAAGTCCAAATAAAACGCATTTCTTGTTCGATTGAGCAGTGCCGATGAAAAGTATTTCCTTTCCTCTGTTTGTCTTACTCTATTTCGAAGAACATTCGGTACAGATTAGGTTAATCGAATATGCACTTTAGACATTTTACAGCCGTCCCCCACCACGTTCGTCACACTACAATAATTTGGCAAAGGTAAATAGTAAGAGGTTACGTAAACTCCAATAAAAGTTTCAGTCGTTGATAGCTATAGTTTTCTGTTTCCTTAAATGTTTTTCTTGGCGTTATATTAAAAAGAGAATTGACATCCGTGAAGATCCCGAAGTACAGCAAGAATAAGTTCCTTTTAGTCTTTTACTGGCATTTCTTTTTGTACATCAAGGAAAAACCATGGCAAATTGGAGTCGGAATAGTCAACAAAACAACTTTGTTAACGTTTTACTGTCAAGTATAAAGAAGACGTATCTTTTAAGAGGACAGGCTCTGAGAAATAGGAATTTTTCCTCCGTCGTCTTTTGTTGTTTCGGTTTCGTTCTTTTCTAAATGACGCTCCTCTTTTTCTTTTGCTTGTCTCCATTTCATTCGGCGATTTTGAAACCAAACTTTAACCTAAAAATAGAGTTTTGTTCCAATAAACGCCAATTTATCAGTTAGTAACCCTTACGGACTCGATTTTTTGGTAGGTTTTTCAACAGCAGTATTTGTCTTATTCGTTGACGGAATCGGACAATCGAGTTTGAAACTTAAACTAAAACTAAAATTAAACCTAAACTGTGATACATGTAGCACAACAAATAAAGACAGTGCAACAAATTAAATTTTTTTTTTCGGATTTCTTTACCTGTGCGTCGGTAAGTCCAAGCATTGCTGCTATTTGCCGGCGGTCGTTCTTCGAGACGTATTTCTGTAGCTCGAAGCGTTTTTCCAAGCCCTTTCTCTGGAGAGAGGAAAATACAGCCCGTGTCCACGAGCGTTTTCTCCTCCCAGAGGTAGCCGCAATGGCGAAAGGGTCCGTATGCCTCCCTATTACCGAGTATGGACCTTGGTGAACAAAACATACACAAATCTCATTTTGAAAATATACTAACTCGTAGAGACGTAACTAATTACAATAAACTTAGATATAGGTCTTTAATAGAACTATTAGGTAACATGTTCCACTTAATATGAAAATCTTTATTATAATCGTTTCAGTATGACCAATTCCATTCCTCTAAAAATGATCCTTACCGAAATAAAATCAATATCAAATTTTGGCTTGGCAGAAAAAAAATCATGTTTCCAGGGAAACATTTTGGTATTTAAGAAACCCAATAACATCCCCAATCTATATATTACAGTTTAGATCAATGCGCAAAAATGTAATCTACGGTCTTTATATAGGGGAGACGTTTCTTAGCACTATTACAAAATGATGTGATCAATTTTTTTAATCCATAGTTACTTTGTCATAAATTGATGGGGTGCAACTTACCCCGGGGTCCAACTAGCCCCGGTCTCCCCTAAATTGGTAATCCCTCTGAATTACAATCGCATTACACTACTTTTTCAGATTTTACAAAAGAAAAAAAAATAGATGAAATTATTTCGACACAATCATTCCAAATGATTATTTTTTCTTACATGCAATATTATAAATTTTTATATAATACTTGACAAATTTTAATTTTGTAATATGCAAAAATCGGCTTATAGACAAATAGGTGATAAACTATTCCTCATAAATTCCTAAACTTTTTAAAGTTTCCACTACAAATGAGAAAATGGTTCATCTTGGGCATCAGTGAAAATTTATGAGAGTCTTAGAACCCCTAAAATCGTAAAGTTCAATGCAACGATGTTGTCTTTACTTAATTTACTGCGAATAACAATTATTCATTTTTGCGCAGAACTTTAGGAATTCTGCACAAATACAAAAATAAAACATACCTGTACTTTTTGTTATGGCTAATTCACAATGATGAAGAAAAATACCATAAATCAAACCATGGGATGCAGAAAGTATATTAAATTATATAGATACTTGTAATGTATATTCACTCCCCACTTACAAAGTAGGCTACTTGGCTATCCGCATTTTTCGTATATTTTAGTTCGGATGAAAACTTATTCATAATTCTACTTTTTTCACTCTTGGCATTAACTTACATTATTACCTGGAAAAACTGAAGGTCCAAAGCATTTTGTGTCAAATATTCGTTGACGCGATCCAACTTGATCGGATAAAGGAAACGTATAGGGTGACGCCATGACCGATTCCCTGCCACCGGCTACCCATTTCTCCGGCGGCAAAAAATAATGCTGGTTGTATAGGGCTTTGGAATTAGAACAGAAAAAATGTTTTTAAAAAAGAGATGGCATAATTAATGTTAAGATCTTAAAACATAAATCGGCAATTGTTTGGATAAATTTACCAGGGGAAAAATTTTAATTGTACTTAATGTCAACCATGACACATTGGTTTTTATTTATTTACGACTTTCATGATCAAAGAGAAATCAGCAGAATGTAAAATCATAAATCGGTAGTCGTTTGAATAAATTTGCTAGGGGAAATTTTACAATTGTTTTTAATGTCAACCATGATATATTTCTTTTTATATGTCCAAAACTTTCATGATAGCAGTACGTAATTCATACTAGGTAAAATAAGTGCATAATATCTTTTAAAAACTATGGCCGACAACCTTACCTTTGCCTGGGTGAAAATGGTCGGCCTTAAAGGTGGGCTCACCGCCACTCTCATTAAAAACAATCCTGTCTATTCCAAATTTTAGATCTCTGCTTCGTATTCCCACAGTCGCCTGTGTCGTCCAGTTGTAACCTGAATACAGCAACAAAGGCATAAGGGATGGAGGGATGTTTCCGAACCCTTTCATGTCTCGAGAAACCGCAAAAGATTCTTTCAAGCAGCGCTTTTCGTTCAGCTGTTTTTCTAATCCCAGCTCGTTGGTTTGAACGAAATGATTTCTCCGAACATCGAGCCCATCTTTGATTCCATTTACGAAATTGAAATTAAGACTTGAACTGCAAGTTGTACCGGTCATATCGTGTCCAAACGATGGCCATAGGCGAGGAAACGATCGTTGATCCATGGCTGCTTTGCACATGTGACTAGTTCATGTATTACGCATTTAAACCAGAAATGCCTATTTTACTCGAAAAGTTATAATCAACTACTGACTTGTAACAAATTTCTGAAAATCCATTCTGCAATTGCATGATAACGCTCTTTATGGCATGCTTTTCAATGTCAAGAAGCGAAACTGGTGATGAATTTGGCGTTAGTATTGCTCACTCGTAACCAACACATACCAGTGTTTACAGAAGGAGATTTTGGACACTGTCTGTCGTGGATTTAACCAATCAAATCGTTTTGCAAGGCTTCAAGCTATTTCATTTCCCTCCCTCTTCCTGCTCGTGTATTTCACTTCACGTATTTTAAATGAATGTTTTGCTGTGTAACAAATCACTGGTTGGAGATGTGTCCATGGAAAATTTACATGGGTGTATTTGAAGAAATATTCGCATCAATCTACTTTAACTCTGAAATTTACATCTGACTGAATAACTTTTTTGCCCTTAAAGTTACGTTTTAATTTTGAAATCTTGACTGAATTGAATCTACATGAAGCGCATATGATATGCTTTGAAGGTGTTTTTTTTTTACATAAAGCATCAAATAGCTGACAATGTAAAAATCTTTATTCTGTTATCAAGTAAGAGATATGTTAATAAAATAAATCGTAAACTACTGGCGTTGGATGGCCCTCCATGGATGCGTTGGAGCAGAATGTGTTTGCTGTTCCGTCTTGATTGTGTTTTAGACGAGTTACTCCGTTGGTTCCATGAACGTGGCCAAAAACATGGATCTTCGGCCTAAAAGTAAGCAGATAACACTTGTATCTGTTTTTCCACATTAAAAGAACACGGGATAAAAAGAGATAGGGTTATGAACCACAAAGGACCTAGGGGCAACATCTGCCACATCTGCATTATTTCTCAATTCCAACATTCGTCTTTTACCCGCACCTGTGCAAAATCCGCAAAAATAAAAAAGGGAGAAAGAAGAGGAAAAAAAATCTTAAAAATGTACAAAGTATAGTCAATATTACACTACTATGCGGGTTAGAAATTATTACTGGTAAAAGACACCGACTGGAGTACATTAAAGCATCGAATAACTTCATCCTGTCCTTATCCAAGAACCGTTTAATCGGAGATTGTCAAGAATATTTACCTGATTCTCTTTAGAGCATCCAACAACCCTTTGCTTCCGAAATAATGGACACTTAGGGGATGCGCCCGCGATTCACAAAATTTGCATGGATCAAAAGACATTGTCTTAAAACGGCCTCTGTATATGTATTCCTTGTCTCGTATACCAAGGGGAGGCATGTGAGTCACCAAGACGTCTATGTCATCTGGTAATTTTGACCACTTAGAATCAAGTTCTTCTATTGGCTCCGTAAATGCATCGGCTCTGCTGCTTGAACGAGATGCGGTCCACGGAGAGCCGTAAAATTTCAAACCCTCTATCTCTATCCAGTCATCTTGCAAGTAGGTGAAATTTTTAACGTTATTTCGAATCTCCTGACTTGTATGTTTCTCTAGATTTAAGTCATGATTGCCTGCTACAAATATTTTGTGCTTGTGCGGCAAACTTCCGAAGAATTTGTCAAGGGCCTTAAGTTCATATCTATAATCTATTTCTTTAAACCATTTCCTAAAAAAATTAAAGTTAGAGAAGTCCCCTGAATGTACTAAAACGTCCCCGCCTGGGATATGTGGGGCGTATTCCCGGTGTTTATTGTGGGTGTCGGAGATATGAACAATGCGCAACACACGTGCGTCTGATCTTTCTTTGGCGTCTCTGTCCACTTCATATACCCCGTGCTTGTTTGGTTTGATATCGAACAGCAAGTTTGATTCCATGTTCTTTTTAAATGGACACTGTAAAGAAAAATATTGAATATATTTTATTTAATTACCACTTACGCGATTATTAGTCTGTCCAACTGTTCATCCATCCAGGCTTCCTTCACTTCTCATAGTCATTTATATATATGATACATCCTTAAACCACTTATCCCACCTATACTCTTGTGCTAAATCATTCATTCAAACATTCTTTCAAAAAACAAATTAATTTATCTATTTAACAGCGTGCATATGTGCTAGCGTGCGTACGTGCGTGTCTAAGACTTAAATAATTGATCCGTTATCAATTTGTCAATGAAAAGGTAAAGTTAATGTAAAGCACTGAGACTGACTAGTATAGATGTACAAATTGATACAATATTGAAATAAAATTAGTGGGTCACAAGGTTTGCTGAGTTTCAGTATACCGGGTTCGTTATGTTTCAGTATACCGGGGCATTCTACTCAATCCTGCTTGTCACTTTAATTAGTAAATAATAAATTTAAGGCGCTTCTCTTCGGTATTGACACGTGAGCGTGCAGGTAATAACCATGACATATCCTCACACCTCTACACGTTACGCCACGTGCGGCTGTTATTTACATTAAGGACATTATACAAATTAAATGTTTGCCAGCTAGGCACGATATCATGTTTATTGAGAGATGAACGTCAATTTTCTTAAATAATTGCACACATAACCTGTCTACTACAACCGCAAGATGTGCAAGTGGCATGCTGAGGGAAAGCGCTGAAACTTGTCAATGTAGTAAAACTCCTTCTTCTGCATTCTGGTAGTTTCTCGCGAATGTTTTTTACTCTGTATCAAGTTCAATGGATACTTACCTGAGATAAATATGCATAAGAAACCTAGGTTTCAGGCACTGGTAGGTGACTCCGCTCTGCTTAGCCTTCGCTTTCCGTCATCGGTATTGGTTACACGTGTGCTGGTTATAGAGAGAAGAGGTTCTAAAAGACAGGGGTTTTGGAAGAACGTGATACGTGACATAGATGTCAACTGTTAAACAAAATGAAATGTACGTGTCTTGGTGACACACACACACACACACACACACACACACACTGTCAATTCATCAAGTAACAATATACTACGTCAGTGGTTAAAACTAAGCTGATAACTTTTTTTCAAGTTAATAAATGTACACAATCCCATTTATCGAAAATTACTAAAGTTTAAAGGGATAATAACTCTTCGTATGAAATCTGTATTTCACAATAAAAACATTGTGAATGACTTATAAAAATATAATATATTCTGTTTTCCCACAAAAAACGGCTGTTATAGCTATTATTCTGATATCTTTAGACCACGTGACCTCCATTGATGGCTATACTCTGTTAAAATCTCTTAAGAAATTTTAACAAAAAACCAAACTTTTCNTTTACTTTAACTCTGAAATTTACATCTGACTGAATAACTTTATTGCCCTTAAAGTTACGTTTTAACTTTGAAATCTTGACTGAATTGAATCTACATGTAGCGCATATGATATGCTTTGAAGGTGTTTTTTTTTACATAAAGCATCAAATAGCTGACAATGTAAAAATCTTTATTCTGTTATCAAGTAAGAGATATGTTAATAAAATAAATCGTAAACTACTGGCGTTGGATGGCCCTCCATGGATGCGTTGGAGCAGAATGTGTTTGCTGTTCCGTCTTGATTGTGTTTTAGACGAGTCACTCCGTTGGTTCCATGAACGTGGCCAAAAACATGGATCTTCGGCCTAAAAGTAAGTAGATAACACTTGTATCTGTTTGTCTACATTAAAAGAACACGTGATAAAAAGAGATAGGGCTATGAACCACAAAGGACCTAGGGGCAACATCTGCCACATCTGCATTATTTATCAATTCCAACATTCATCTTTTACCCGCAACTGTGCAAAATCCGCAAAAATAAAAAAGGGAGAAAAAAGAGGAAAAAAAAGATCTTAAAAATGTACAAAGTATAGTCAATATTACACTACCATGCGGGTTAGAAATTATTACTGGTAAAAGACACCGACTGGAGTACATTAAAGCATCGAATAACTTCATCCTGTCCTAATCCAAGAACCATTTAATCGGAGATAGTCAAGAATATTTACCTGATTCTCTCAAGAGCATCCAACAGCCCTTTGCTTCCGAAATAATGGACACTTAGGGGATGCGCCCGCGATTCACAAAATTTGCATGGATCAAAAGACATTGTCTTAAAACGGCCTCTGTATATGTATTCCTTGTCTCGTATACCAAGGGGAGGCATGTGAGTCACCAAGACGTCAATGTCATCTGGTAATTTTGACCACCTAGAATCAAGTTCTTCGATTGGCTCCGTAAACGCATCGGCTCTGCTGCTTGAACGAGATGCGGTCCACGGAGAGCCGTAAAATTTCAAACCCTCTATCTCTATCCAGTCATCTTGCAAGTAGGTGAAATTTCTAACGTTATTTCGAATCTCCTGACTTGTATGTTTCTCTAGATTTAAGTCATGATTGCCTGCTACAAATATTTTGTGCTTGTGCGGCAAACTTCCGAAGAATTTGTCAAGGGCCTTAAGTTCGTATCTATAATCTATTTCTTTAAATAATTTCCTAAAAAAATTAAAGTTAGAGAAGTCCCCTGAATGTACTAAAACGTCCCCGCCTGGGATATGTGGGGCGTATTCCCGGTGTTTATTGTGGGTGTCGGAGATATGAACAATGCGCAACACACGTGCGTCTGATCTTTCTTTGGCGTCTCTGTCCACTTCATATACCCCGTGCTTGTTTGGTTTGATATCGAACAGCAAGTTTGATTCCATGTTCTTTTTAAATGGACACTGTAAAGAAAAATATTGAATATATTTTATTTAATTACCACTTACGCGATTATTAGTCTGTTCATCTGTTCATCCATCCAGGCTTCCTTCACTTCTCATAGTCATTTATATATATGATACATCCTTAAACCACTTATCCCACCTATACTCCTGTGCTAAATCATGCATTCAAACATTCTTTCAAAAAACAAATTAATTTATCTATTTAACAGCGTGCATATGTGCTAGCGTGCGTACGTGCGTGTCTAAGACTTAAATAATTGATTTCTTATCAATTTGTCAATGAAAAGGTAAAGTTAATGTAAAGCACTGAGACTGACTAGTATAGATGTAAAAGTTGATACAATATTGAAATAAAATTAATGGGTCACAAGGTTTGCTGTGTTTCAGTATATCGGGGTATTCTACTCAGTCCTGCTTGTCACTTTAATAGTAAATAATAAATTCAAGGCGCTTCTCTTCGGTATTGACACGTGAGCGAGAAGGTAATAACCATGACATATCCTCACACCTCTACACGTTACGCCACGTGCGGCTGTTATTTACATTAAGGACATTATACAAATTAAATGTTTGCCAGCTAGGCACGATATCATGTTTATTGAGAGATGAACGTCAATTTTTTAAAAATAATTGCACACATAACCTGTCTACTACAACCGCAAGATGTGCAAGTGGCATGCTATGGGGAAGCGCTGAAACTTATCAATGTAGTAAATCTCCTTCTTCTGCATTCTGGTAGTTTCTCGCGAATGTTTTTTACTCTGTATCAAGTTCAATGGATACTTACCTGAGATAAATATGCATAAGACACCTGGGTTTCAGGCACTGGTAGGTGACTGCGCTCTGCTTAGCCTTCGCTTTCCGTCACGTGTGCTGGTTATAGAGAGAAGAGGTTCTAAAAGACAGGGGTTTTGGAAGAACGTGATACGTGACATAGATGTCAACAAAATGAAATGTACGTGATGTCTTGGTGACACACACACACACACACACACACACACACACACACACAGTGTCAATTCATCAAGTAACAATATACACTACGTCAGTGATTAAAAATAACCTGAAAACTGTTTTCAAGTTAATAAATGTACACAATTCCATTTATCGAAAATTAGTAGAGTTTAAGTAAATCCTGTTGAATAAAAGCTGTCTGAAGTCATTAAGTGCAAATATACCTTCCGCACTAGTTGACTCCTAACATAATAATGCTTGCACTTTTAAGGTAAAATAATTAATTAAAATAAGTGCACATTCCAGCAATAAAACACCGATAAAACTGTAACTATTTAATTTTATCTGTCTCCTAAAAGGACACCCCAGTGTTCACCTCTTCCTCGAGGTACTCCCACCCGAGACCATGTGTCTGCCCAGTTTGTTGATTGTCACCAGCTTGGACAAGATTACAAATTCGTAATTTTGTCCACGTCACCTGACACCGTCGGCGGTCAAATTAGGCTATGTTTAACAGTTAGCTGTGACACCGTCAGTGAAGCAGGCATAGTCCTAGGCTATTTTGCCTATAGGCCTATTAAAAAAATCGCTAAAACCTAGCTTTTCAAACAGATTTAATAATAAATTTGCTATATGACGTCCATTGGACTCGACCTTAATCTCGAACTTTCTCAGGATAATTTTCAATACCCCGCTCCCCCCCCCCCCCAACCCCAAACCCCACCCCCCGTGCCAAACCGCAAACGTTGTTGATGCACGAATGAACAAAAAAGTGGAAGTATTATTCCGTATCATGTGACATGCCAGTGACCCAGAACGCATCATAGACGTCTCAATATCTTCCGCCAATGGTCTAATGTGTCTAAATGTGTACTAGTTCAGCATTCGGAACATGATTTACCTGACGTTGTTAGTCCTGTCACTTCACGAACTAGGCGCATACAGTAACATATATATATATATATATATATATATATATATATATATATATATATATATATATATATATATATAAGAGNACAGTAACATTTATGTATATATGGGCCTACCGTTATCTTTGGTTATCGGAACATGAGTCGAACAACGCCGAAGCGTGGCTATGTCACCGACATCTCACCATGTACACAGTATACCTTTATCGCGACCTCGTGACCAAACATCAAATGAGTCATCATTTGTATGAATAAGTTTTATTTATAGAATAGCATTCATAGAAAAACAGCTACCCGTTGGATTCAATCAATACACTTGTTCAATTATTTACCAGATACTGGTACAAATATGACAAATAATACTATATTAAAGTTGCTGGTACATTACCACCGGTTCTTGATATACCATTTCAAGTTAAATATGGCATAATATATAATAAAACCCAGTGACGCCAGGGAAAAGAAAAAAAAACTAATTATTCTATTAATACCCGATTATAATCCACAGTAGAAAGAGTCCATTTTATAGCAAGATTTTTAAAGCCTCTGCTATTACTTTCGATCTTTTTTCTTTACTTTTTGATTCTTTTATAATAGTTGGGGTGTATTATCCCAGTTCCATTATCCCAAGTTCTTCGTTTATCATTTCAATAAGAGGGGATTCTTTTTAGGCAAACCACAGCGTCAGTGACACTGAAGAGCGAAATTAGGGAAATACGATGGTCGTACTTCCAATAATTTTGCCATTCCCTTTTTTCCAGAGTTGCGTCTCTTCTGCGTGGCCATTCCCAAGGTGGATAACCATCATGTCTCTGACCTCTGATCCCGTAACTTTCATTTTTATAATAGATTTGCCATTCTTTTGGGGTGTTACTGGTTCTTTGGTGCTAAACCTGACCATGACTTTGTCTGCGAATCCACCCGGCGTTTTGACACAATATTCTCCAACTGCAACGTAGTCTCCCTTCTTCAGCACCCCAGTGTAATTAGCATTAGATCGAAATCGACCATTTAACACCGTAACTCGCCACTGCGCCATCGTCACATAGGTGTTGTTGAAACCACGAACCCGGAGACCATGCGTCTCTGCATCTAGTTGATGTTTAGCGGTGTGGGGCCATAGAAGTCTCCTGAACTCCAGGCCCTTTTTGCGCACGCTTCCCTCAAACAAAACCCGAGGAACAATATCTCGAAAATCTATTTTGTATTGATCATAGAAAAATTGCAACGCTTGCATCCCTTCGAAGTGTTTCTGGAAGTCCGTCCTGCTGAGGCAATCTTCGTGCTCAAAGTTTCGCAACATTGCTAACATGTCACTGAAAGGAAAGGTAACAAAATGGGTATGTATTTAATATTCGAACAATGTGAAGGAGGAACGGGGTGCATCCCTCCACAAACCGACTTTCTCTTAAGAACAAAAGCTCTACGATCTAAACAAAATTCAAGTTAAATTTATTTTTTCTTCACAAAGGAAGGCGTTTTATAGATAACGACAATTTACACAGTGTTGCATTGTTTTAAGAAACATACCTAGATTTATAGAAGTTTTTGAACCTTCCCGATAACGACATGCTAAATACTCTGTTGTTTGCTTGTTGGCTGTCCTGACTGTCCCCAGCAGTGAGCAATACCACCGCACAGAAAACCCTAAAATATTGTCAATTAAGATATTTAAAAACGCAGTTTTAATTGCCCTGATTGGAGTTTTGGGACTCTACTTAGTTGCTTGTTTACTAAGATGGACGAGTGTTGGCTATTAGAAAAACCCCAAGGTGACGACAAAGGCCATCAACCTTTTAACTCCAAATAAGTGTCTATGAGATGTGACCACAAGCCACAGAAACAACAGCCTAACGTGGATTACACCCCCACTTAATGTTTGGTAAAGAGACATCAATGTAAGGAAGTGGTTAGCATTAAATATACTGGAAATAGTCAAAAGAAGAAAATCGCCAGTGAATACTACAGTCCACTACTAATGCTCGTAAATTTGTTAACTGTGTACTGCCCAAGGACAAAATGTAAAAAAAAAAATGTTATGTCTACTGTACTTTGTACCACACCGCCATGAGGTCCTTGAAAAGTGAAAAGAGGTGGTAAACATGTTAAAAGCTTCTTTTTTTTCAAAAATGTGGATTTACGGGAATACGATTTGGTTACCTGCAAACTTATTTGTGTAAGTATATTATTTACAATTTTCGCCTGACCCAAGATGAAATGGAAAAATAGGAAATTATCAAAGGCCAATGCAATATGTTGCAGTGTCAAAAGAATTAAAATATTTCGCTTTCTATTTCACATTTCCCGATATATTTCACTGAATTACTAATCCTCGTCTGGAATACCAAGAGCTGAGATTTGTATGAGTACTGATAATCTGTGTTATAATTTCCCAGTTTACACAAAATCATAAATAACTAATATTTAAGACTGACGTATGCTGTACTTTAGTGTACTACTACTAAACTATTATGGATCAAAATAGACTTATATTTTTGCTAAAGTTAAGAAATATATAAAACTAAGATCCTACGTGAAACTGGGCTAAACGCTCGTTAATAATATCTTGATTGCATAGTTAAGATCTTGCTTTAGAATATAAAATAAAAATCTTATAAAAAAATAAAATCTTGAGGTATTGAAAAACAAACATAGTACTTGCTAGCTAATACTGGTGAGAATGTGTACAATGCATGATACAACAACATAAAATTCTAACCTTAACAAATCCATAGTTATGTCTTCAGCCTTTCTCCGTAGTTTACAAGCGCAACATTGGAACGATGTGTCTAAAACACCTTTTTACGGGCTATTAAATCGAATTAATGTCACTTTCAAAAGTCTTTAACCATAGTCTTCCATGTTAATCAACATATGATAATCCAAATATACTAAATCCACTTAGTAAGCAGAACAGAACTGCTTTGGGGTCTATCTCAAAATTGTGCCTGTTCACCATAAAATTTATAGGAGCAAGCCTGTTTGACGTACCGGGCCTTCGATCACGACCACTTGAAGACAAAATTTGTTCTACTGTTACAAACTGTGCAAAAAAAAAAAAAAAAAAATGCTCCAATATTTAAAGTGCATTATGAATTCGATGCTGACTATCAAATATTGTCAAAACAAATACTTGAAGGGGCTGAAAGTGGACATTAACTCGTTCTCCTAGCGGTAAGGACCCCCAAAAACGTTAACATATTTATCACCATACGTCATTATGGGATACATCGAGATGCCATGCCTTTAGAGTGTCGAGCATCAAATAATCAATTTGATTTTCTACCACCCGTCAACCCCCCCCCCACCCCCAAGTCAGAAGCAATAGATCGTCGATGTTGGAGCATGCCAAAGCAGTCCAAACTAAATGTTGGCTCTGGATATGCGTTAGCTGTACCGACGGTAACAGAAACGCTGCCATTTTTTTAGTTTTGTTTCGTTTTCAAGATAACGTCTCATGCCACTGTTTACAAGGGAAGGTTCATTATACACTCAGATGTTATTTTGGGGGAAATTACCGGGTCATTTAATAAAAAAACAACTCAGTTATGACTAGGCAGTGACACACTTCGTATAACATTCGCGTAAATGTTTTTATCACTTTCATGTACTATAGTTTTCCCATATTGGAGGGTACTATAACATAAAACAACAAAAACATTATGAGGCACGTGGAAATTATGTAAATATTAGACAAAATGAAGTGCCGCAAAAGTTTACCTTTTATGTGGAATGATACTACTCCACTTGATACCCACTAACATGTAACACCCGAGGACATTTTGGTAGCAAATGTGTTCAACTAGATCGAAGGAAGAGCTCAGCGTTTTAATTATAATGCAGGGCGGATCCAGGATTATTTGAAGAGGGGGTCCGATTTTTCAGGAATGACAGGCCTCGGATGCGAAGCCGACCCTCGCCCCACTTGGATTGTTTTGGAGGGCAAACAGTGCCATTTGGAACGGTTAAGAACTATAAATCAGCTATTCAAAAATCTAATTCCAAGAGGGGATATCAGTGTGATTTTTTTTCAGAATTTGAAGGAGGGGGAGGGGGGAGTCAGCACCTCCCTGACCCACCTCTAAATCCGCCACTGCTATTTATTAGATATGCGTTTATATATTTAGGGGCGGATCCAGGGGGGGGTCTTTTTATTTTTTTATTTTTACCCCCCCCCCCCCCCCACACACACACACACACAAGAAAAGAAAAATAATTTTCAAACTTAAATACGTGGAACGAACGATTTAAATTAATAATGAATAAATCATAATTTACCATAAAAATTTTAAAAAGCCATCTTATAACAACACAAGATCGTAATATAAGCCTTATAGCCTAGGTCCCAACCGAACGTGCGGGCTGCAAACATTTTCCCCCAAAAAAATGGGGAAAAAGTGGGAGTTCGTGCGTGAGGAGCACGTCCATCGTGCGACTTTTGGAGGATGCAAGCAGCACGTAGAAACTTTTCGACATGATCAACAGCCGCTACGTGCGATCTAGCTACGTCCTAGCCGGACGCAAGGAAATTAAAATCGTGCCTCCAAAACGTAGTTGGGACCTAGGCTTATGACACTTGATCACGGTCACGTTGTTCAGTTTCAAATTAAAGTTTTGTATCTAGGGATGTATCGAGCATGATTTGTCTCTACCAGAACACCTTGATATATTGTTTTGCCTGTTACTGAATGACTATGTGAAATCGAAATTGGAGGTTTTAAGGGAGTGATGTAAGATACAGGATTATATTGTGTGGTGTACAACTACCTAAACATGCATTGACAGTGACGTTTTTATGTGAAACGTTTTTCTACCTGGAGTGTCGATTAGCGGGGAGGAGGGGGTCGCGTTTTCTACTTTTTCTAAACCTATTGTGGCAGAAAGTGATAAATATAGCTTTTTGTGTAATATTGCAAACATTTTCCGATTCATGTCTTGTTAGTATGGAAAGTTTTCCTACTCAATAAAGAAGGTTTAAAAAAAATAGTTTGGATAATATTCGCATGTTATACATACTAAAATTAGACTGCGCTAAAGGGGATACGAGATGCACATTTATTTTACTGGCACATTTTGTCCTCAACTTCAAGTATATTTTTCACAATGCCTGTTAACGAAGGTTTTGCAAATTACTATCTATGAGAATACAGTTTCGTCTGAAACAATTAACTGCACACTGTCATCATATCGTCTAGCTAATCGTGGATATAACTTTAGATTTGTTAAATGGCTGAAATATTACAAAAACATCAAACAACTAAAAAAAATGACCTGTGGCAGAAGACCGCACGATTTTTTTTTTCAAATTTTAAAAGCCAGGTGACATCGCGAACGTAGTGGGGATCTATTTATTGTGTTCTTTAAAATAAACATAAATATAAGCATTTTCTGAAACGTCATACTCGTTTCTTGATTTTGTACACTAGATTGGAGAGTGTGAGATGGCGCTGCGAGCAACAGTTAAACGGTTGAAATTTTAGCCCGTTTATGTTTTTTTTTGTGTCAGAACAGGTAAAGTTATTTATTTATTTATCTATTTTTTGCAGTGATTTTTAAAAAGTTGCAAGACTGATGTAAGTAATATTCCACTTGGACAAACAAATGTTCTATCCTTAATTCTTAATAAATTTTTTAAAAATCTTAAATGGACCTATAAATGGTGAATCAGTGAGTGTTCTCGTGGCAGGCGAAGCAATTCCCGAGTTCGATTTTCAAGCAGTGTCGACCACCTCATTAAAAAACACAAATAGAGCTGTTGTGTGCCTGGTCATGAAAATATTGATAATGAGCAATTTTCCCATTGGCATGTAAGCTCTAGTGCTTGACAACTTAGGTTGTGTGATCGCCAGGGAGATGTGAAAGAAGGCCAGTGACCACTCAGACTTAGGACAATGTTAAAACGCATATATCAAAAAGTGCAGTTTTCAACTAAGGTTTAAGGGGATAAAGTAAACCTATATATGAGAAATATTTAATTGCAATTTTTCAATTTATCTTATTGTCTTATTCATTATTGTTTTCGTTTTTCTCTCTAGTCATGCTACTGGCATCAGAATACTGATAACCCGAAGCCATGAATGGAGGCACGTCCGTTGTTAGTTATTACCTATATCAGTACACCTTTTATATGCAAAAAATATTCATTTGTTTCTGCTCCCTGGTATAAGTTAATCAAGATGTTTTTGTGACCTACTGCTGCTTTCTTTCGTTTCGTAAAATCACAATAACTTGTTTTTCATTTCTCAGAATAACAATTCAGTTGATAACAAAATATGTTTAGAGTACTGAGGTGACTGTATATGCTAGGTCCAGTATACTTTCAATTGACTCACTACAGTTCTCTACAAACAAAACAATCATGCCCCCTCAGGCTGCCTCGAAAATGCAGTCACCCTACCGTACGCCCTATTACATTATCCACATTTTGGACCAGTGTTCGAATACACGCTTTCTATAGTGGCCTGCGAGCAGTTCACAGATACCTGTACCAGTTTAACGGACATCGGGCCTATCATAATTTTGGGGAGAAGGTAAATTGCTCAGAAATTATCATCAAATTTGCCTGTACATTTCGAAGTAACTGCTTACTACTTAATACTATTATTATAAAATAAAATGATAAACGGAATAATCAAAATAAAAATTGGTAATATGATGCGTATGTTAAAAAGATATTATAATCAATTAAGGGCATCACTATCAAACGCCACCCCCTATGAACAGTTGGCCTAGGAACGCCACCATGTGACTTTATATCACTGAAGGTATAAAAGCGCAAAATTTTGAAATTTCGTTCATTCAACGCATACAGATCTGGAGCAACAAGAAGGATGCCATGTACTGCGCATCGTATCAAGCTAAAAGGGCACAGGAGTTAACTCACATTTCTCCAAATCTTTCCTTCGTCCCAAGTCAACGCATCGCTCATAGACATGTTGTTTCTTGCACACGCAGTCGTCTGGATTCGACGTTTCTCTAAGCTGGCCAGCTAAAATCTTCGCTTCTCTCCACGAGGAATCGTCGCTCAGGAATCTTCGCAGGATACGTCATCGGTTTTTATGCTGCTGTGGGCCATATTGTTGTAGTGTCATTGCATACATTTCCATGCATTCCAGGTTTCTTCTTATTATATACATAGGCAGACAAAATTACTTAATTCGTTTTCTTTCTTTTAACAGAACTCGATTATGGCGATTCTCGGTAGAGCTCCCACTGACAACTGCAAGGAGAAGAGGGCCACATCTACGCTTCAGCCACATCGATCAATCCTTGGTGCCAGCGAGTCCTGCCATGGTCCGTCTCCGAGGTGGCTGCATTGGGGAAGCGTTCAAGGCATGTGATGATTCACTGATATGGAAAACCTTTAAAGGTAAGCCTGACTGCAGAGTGCTGACATAGGCAGGAAAAGTCATTNTGCATTGGGGAGAACGTCCAGCGCGTCCTGCCATGGTCTGTCTACGAGGTGGCTGTATCGGGGAAAGGATCCTGTGAGTCGTTCCATGGTCCATCTACAAGGTGGCTGCATCAGGGGAAACGTCCAAAGAGTCCTGTCATTGTCCGTCTACGTACGACGTGGCTGCATCAGGGGAAGCGTCCAGGGAGTCCTGCCATGGTCCGTCTACGAGGTGGCTGCAGCGGGGGAAGCATCTAAGTGTTTCACTGAGATGGAGAATCCTTAAAGGTATTGTGTCATTGGGAGGGGGGAAAGTATAGAAAACTCATTAATCCATTTTACTTTGTTTACAGAACTCAAGGTGATTGCATTGGGGAGAACGTCCAGCGAGTCTTTCCATGGTCTGTCTACGAGCTGGCTGCATGGGGGGAAGCGTCCTGTGAGTCCTGCCATGGTCTGTCTGCTAGATGGCTGCATCGGGGTAAGCATCCTGTGAGTCCTTTCATGGTCTGTCTATGAGGTGGCTTCAGCGGGGGAAGCATCTAAGGCATACGGTGTTTCACTGAGATGGAGAATCCTTAAAGGTATTGTCATTGGGAGGGGGGAAAGTATAGAAAACTCATTAATCCATTTTACTTTGTTTACAGAACTCAAGGTGGTTGCATTGGGGAGAACGTCCAGCGAGTCCTGCCATGGTCTGTCTACGGGTTGGCTGCATCAGTGGAGTCCAAGGAGGCCTGCCATGGTCCGTCTACGAGGTGCCTGCATCGTGGGAAGCATCCAGAGCGTTCTGCCATGGTCCGTCTACGAGGTGGCTGCATCAGGGGAAGTGTCCAGCGATTCCTGCCATGGTCCGTCTACGAGGTGGCTGCATCGGGGAAGCGGCCAGCGAGTCCTGCCATGGTCCGTGTATGTGGTGGCTGCATCGGGGGAAACATCCAATGAGTTTGGCCATGGTCCGTCTACGAAGTGGCTGCGTCGGGGGAAGTGTTCAGCGAGTCCTGCCATGGTCCGTCTACGAGGTGGCTGCATCGAGGGAAGCGTCGATTATGTCAATTCTCAGAGCTGACAACTTCAAGGTAACCTGTGTTATTGGGGGAGAGAATAAGACTATAATGATTTTCCGTTGTAGTCTGTGCCATAAAGCGATCACCTTACTGGCCATTTGAAACTTTTCTAAAATCTACTGGTCTGAATCGGGGTTCAGTGGTCCAAATACAAATTTCAATAAAACTGGTCTGGATTTTAACATAATATTGTTATTAAAAAGACCTCGACTTTTTTATTTATGTTGTAACAGTTAAAAAGTAAATTAATTCAAAAGCTCTTTTGAAAACTCGCATTAAAATCTAATGGACGTAGCACTTTATTCACACATTCTCAAAGATCTACTTGTCCAAGCAATAATTAGTATGTTGCAGTCATTGATTACACAGAATGTTGAAATATTTAAAAAAAAAACACAAAAGTTTAATAATTCAATAAACAGTCTTAGTAGTAATTAAAGGTGTTACCGTTTTAGACAACAAAACGAAAAGGAGAAGAGACCCTGGAAAACCCCAACGTGAACACGAGCAGCTTGTCAACAAGAAGTGCAGTGACCTGAAGACCTGCACTTGTTTGAAATTAAAGAGAGTTTGGAAAGTGTTGTGTAGTCATTGTAAGTGTAGACATTTGTTTTCTATTTACAACTTCATCAGGAAATTCCTGGTACATACATTTTACAGGTCAAAAGCTCTTTTAATTTGCCATAAACTAAGAAAAGCCCCACTCATGCAAAAAAAAAAAAAAAAAAAAAAAAAAATGTTGAAATGCTACCGACCAACATTCAAATCTTCAACAGACTCGATGTGACACCGGTGGCGTTGTGTCAATGGTCTAAAATACTAGATTGGCATCTATCTATCTAGGCTTCCTTTTATTCCTCTTATTCTTCAGTCACTTTCTTTTAGTAGTATCTTAGCACTCTCCCAATCCGCAGTGTGGTTTTCCCGTGTTGTGTTGTAGAAGTAGACCAGCTTTTCTGTGTAGATTGTTTTTTTTCGACTCGAATGTATTTTTTCCTTTCATTTATCCTTTCCTATTTCTTCCTGTGTTCTTTACCTCTACTGCTCAACTTTCGTATCTCCAAAAATTTTTGCAACACCCCACTGGATTACATGGAGTCTGAAGAAGTTGAGAACCAAAGCCTTATGAAACAACAAAATGCTTCTTAAAGGTGTTTAAATACCAGTTACATATGTTCTTTGTTGCAGTTACTGCAAGATTTCCATTTTTTTTTTTTTTTTTTTTTTTTTTTTTTTTTTTTTTTTTTTTTTTTTTTTTTTTTTTACTTTTGTGTGAACATGTTGCATTTCATTTGTAGGCTACGAAAGGGAGTTTTCTAGAAATAATGCCCGAACGCAGATACACTGTACAATCAATCCTAGACCAAATGTTCAAGATGTAAAACACTTAAATGGCGCCAGCAACGAGCCCCTGTAGCCACTTTCATTGATGGTCGGACGTCCTAGCAGTCTTGGGTTTTTAAGGACGGAGATTGTTCTGCAAACAATTAGAGAATGTGGAATGGTAGTGAAGAGCGATATCCTGAATGTAAGAGGAATACTGGTACAATCTAGTTATGTACCCAAGTCTTTTGGTTATTGAGAATTTTTGTGGTTCATGGGTCACAGATATGAATGGGATGAAATTGCATTTAGAAACTTTTTTCACTTATGGCAGTGAGCCATTTTATTTCAATAGCTAAAGGGAAAACTGAGGTTCAGAATGATCATTCCATAAATGATAAATTGATTAAGATGAATTGTGGTTCTGTGAAAATTTTAAGTCAGCCTCTACAGTTATTATAATAATTTTTAAAAAATTAAATCAAGATGTTTTATCCACATTCTAAATGCAGATAGCTTTTTACTCACAAAAACAACATTTATGGTCGTCTTTGTTTTATTTCAATCTTAGTGATGTAGTCATTTTTCAAAATTGTGCTTTTGATGATGTGGATTTGTTCGTCAGTATAGCGTTTGAGAAGATCATAACCCGCACACTAACCATATTTCACAACTGTGTAAAATCTGACTTGGTGTAAATGCTTTTACACGAAGAGGTTTTACATTGATAGCCTGTGCAAAATCTGTAATGAAATATTTCACGTTTCAGAAAACATTTCATTATATTGTTTGCACAGTCTGCTCCTCGCGAGGGATGGCTGGGTGCACACAGTCAGCTTTCAAGATTGAGGACCGCACATTACTAATATTACTAATATTATGATTTTCTCAAGTGTTATAGTTGACAAACATGTCCAGTTCATCACATATGCACCTTTTTCTCCGGATCAAAAATTTCATATTGAAATTTACATGGACGGTCATACAGTGTAATGTGAGATCTAAAATATTTCGAAGCAAGCTTGCTTTATTCTTTACTTGCATCATAGTTGCAATGTTAAAGTTTAGTTTAGGTGCCCGAGTTATAATCATATTATCTTTGTATGTATTTTATACAAAAAAAGAACTTAAATCAAATTTTGATGGATGCTTTCACTTGTAAAAGGAGAGAGTCGATTTATATGACTTCATCCCCTTAGATAAAATTAAAATTAGTCTCGGTTTAATTATGTTAAGACTGTAGTAAATGTCTTAATTGGCTTCAGTGTCTCTTTCTGTAGGAATTACTTTGGTAAATTCTTATGCTTCTTTACGTGTACAAGTATAGTGTATATAGAGGATAGTTTGTAATCACGATTGAAGTTTATTCAGTTGCAACATGCTGTCTAAAACTGGACGATATTCTTCCAACTGTAAGGCGCTGTGTCGATAAAGAAACTATCATGTTATAAAAGACTGAAGTCTCCGGGCGTGGGCACTTTCCCGGCATTCCCCACGAAGGGTTTAGACGGGTTTTTCCCCACGGCCTGCAAGCATCGGATACCAGCTTCCGACCACAGGACTAGCGTTATAATATAAATTATCAGACTGTTTGTGTTCCGATGTTAGATGATAAAAACAGAAAAGGAAAATCTTAACTTTCAATAATACTACCATTCATTGATTCATTGCGTTTACATAATCGATAAATAATTACTAAAGTGTTATTGAAATTGAATGCTACTGTTAAAATTGTACGTTATAGTTGAATAAAAGTTGTAATCTAATTTTTTTATTTGTTGATAAACGAAAGACGTGAACAGATGTTGACAAAACGATTCGAATTAAGCATTATTTAAATAAATATATTAAGAATGAACTCACTAAATATATATTCAAATTTCAAGATTTAGTTATTTTGTTTTGTAATAATTTTTGTTGTATATTCGATTGAGAGAGCACATCTGAGATGATCGCACGATTCGAATTAAGCATTATTTAAATAAATGTATTAAGAATGAACTCATTAAATATAAATTTAAATTTCAAGACTTGGTTATTTTGTTGTGTAATAATTTTGTTGTATATTCGATTGAGAGACCACATCTGAGATTATAATCAGTTATATAAAGTTCTGCTTACTTCAGGAAGATTTATTACCTTTTACATCCACACACATAGGCAGCCAGTTTGGGCAAATGACGCCACTCTCGCTTAAATACTAGTTTTTGGAAACTTAAATTTCGATCGTTATATTTCAAAAATGAATGCAGCTGCAGGTTATAAAATTCATCCATGTAAAATTCACCTTGAACACTTATGCACCACTGCCAATTCCTTGTTTAAAAAACATGAATTTATATTTCTTTGTGTTGATCGTTGGTCGCCCAAACACCCTTGGTTGGTTTAAAAAATTGATTTTAATCATTAAAAATAACAAGAATTATTCTGACGTATATTTCTAGTTATGAGACGTAAAACTCATTTTTCTACTCTCTTTGATCATTTTTAACATTAAAAAGGCCATAACCGCGGTGTAAACTTCCAAAAATCGATGCAAATGCACATTACGATTTTATAAAGGTAAACAAGAAATTATAAACAAGCTTTTAATGTTCACTGATTTACATCTCTCTCTCTCTCTCTCTCTCTCTCTCTCTCTCTCTCATTAATTTCGGAATCCGTGTTCTTTTCAAATTCAACTTTTATTCAATAAGACCAAGCGTGCATTTTTTTTCGGTCACACTGGCCCCTACGTTATTCAGGGGCATTTGAAAGGGGGGTTGGGGGTCGGGGGGGGGGGGGGGGGGGGGGGGGGCGGATGCAAAACCGACCCCCACCCCACCCCCTAGCTTTGGCGTGGGATTCGGGGCCCGCTGATGTTACAATTTAAATTGAAGAGGGGACTTTTGGTGTGTTTTTTTTTCGGAAATCGAAGGGGGGAGGTTCATGACCCCCCTGACACACCCTTAAACCCCCTCCCCACTGTTATTGCTTTTTTTAACCTCAAACATGGATCTTTGTGGAAATGAAATAATAACTGCATCATATGACCCAGTCCCATTCGACTGAGCCAGCTCAGAGAGAAATTCAGTTTTCGGGCAAGACTTTCAATAAAAACAACCCCCTTCAAGAACAAGAAATTCTGGATCTGCCCCTTGTAAAATGATGACATTTTGGACATTTAAAAAAGAAAATGATTTGAAACCGTGAACTTGGCCTTCGCTTATCACGGGCCCGAAGCGGGTTTGATAGACGGCCGCAACGCAAACCAACAGCACGCATGTGCCAAAGGAAGTAAACTTGTGCAGATGGCAGTCAGCGGCTCGAATCGATCGGTACAACTTACGCTTTCCTTCGAGTTGTTGGAAATGTGGTAGATTCTAGTTTTCGGAGTTTCTTTTCGCATTTCTTTCTCTAAGGGCGTGTTGGAAGGATCATTCTCAATCCCAAGCGCGTTGTACGTATTGTGAATGCATCACATGATAAAAGTGTGAGGACGACTGAATCCAAGTACAGCCAGGTCAAGCAGTCATTTGCGAGTAGACGAGTAGCCCTGGCAAATTCTTGGTTAATTAAGTTTTGATGTATCAAAATTTAAACAAGGAAAGCAGTCAGAGGTGCATGCAGACCTCCATCAAGACAAAAAGCTGTCTAATAGTAAACAGTTAATTAATAAATAAATTGGTTAAAGGATATCATCACCAAATCAGTCAGTATCATATCTGGCCTATCCTGAAAATTTCATCAAAATTAGTGGCATATGCTGATGACAAGTATAAGGTAAAATACATGCATACAGGTATTTAGTGTCAATATTTATATATATAATCATATACTAGTAGATAATCATGAATCAAACATCTAAGTGCATTTGTATAAAATATGGAAAATTAAACTAATCAACTACGCTAGTCTTGTGCATAGGAGGAGAAATTTCACCAATTTGTGGACTTACTGTTAAGGATAAAGCAAACTTTTTTGTTAAATTCTTTCATCATTGTAGAGGGAACAGAAACCAGTCATGTCACAAATATTTGAAGAAAATGGAGTAAAAATTGCTGTGAATAAAAATCACGCCACTCCAGAGAAGACTGACACTTTCTACAACCCACGCATGACCATATGCAGGTGATTCATTTTTAATTTTGTCAGTGTAAAGAGAATGATACATTTTATTTAGGATTCAATAATAATGTTCTTTCAGGCAAGAAATATTCATTCAGTCAAATCTTCTGTGTAAAAGTCTTTAAAACTTTTAACTTTAAAAAGATTAAACCTTTAAAAAATTGCATCAATGAAAATAGTTTTTTATTTCACAGGGAAATTTCTTTGTCTGTTTTGAGTGCCTTCTGCTCAGAGTTAGAAGATAAGACACCAGAGTGCCTAGACGCATTTTCAGCTACTGGTAAGCTTTCAAGTCTTCATCAATATACATACGGGCACATGCACGCACATGCGTACACACACTTAGACTTGCTCATGTGTCAGGAGCAGATCCAGAGATATTTTCTGACAGTATTCCAAATTATCTTTGTTGATCCATCCTCCATTTTTGATGGTCTTCCAACAGAAAAAATAGATACCCGTCAATGTAAACAATGTAAAAACTGACTGTCTTCCAGAAGATGGCCTGAATCTGCCTGAGACCACTACTATACACAGAAGCACATGTACACATATGTGTACACCCTCACAGACCTGCAAATGTGTGACCTTTAACTTTAACCTTTAAAATTAAAGTAACTAGACAAGTGTAGAAACCTGAGCTGAAATTTCCTTTGTTGGAAGATTTTCTATTTAGAAGTGGCAAATTTGGTTGAGGCTATACATGAATACATTTTATGTGGTACTGGGTATATATTTTCCTTCTTGATAATTTTCTCAGTGTCCCTGTCTGTTAAATTATTTTATTTTAAAATCAGGCCCGTAGCTTGGGGGAGGGGGTGAAATAACCACTTTTTTTGTCAGGAAAAAGTCCATTCTGGGTAAAATTTGATCTAAGTACACTAATATTTCATTAAAAAAGGTCCACTTTTTCAGAAAAAGAACCTCCCTTTTCAAATTGCTGGCTACAGGCCTGAAAAAAGGTTTCTTTAATAAAAGATGATGGCTTAAAATATGTAATTCTTCAATTATAACATTACATCAGTGACAGTGCATTGATTTAGTGCACTTACCATCCATATTTTATACATATCTGATTTTTCAAAGGCATATCTGGACTACAGTGGAAGAAACACCTCGGACACAAGATCAAGGTCACAGTGAATGACGCCAATGCTGACGCAGTACAGAATATCAAAGACAATTGTGCCTTGAATGGAGTTGAATTTCACCAGAATGTAGAAATCAAACCAGGGAATGACCAGAATGGAGGACCAGATGTTATTGATAGTGGGGAAAAGCAAGAAGACCTTAGTAAAGTGGAGGTTTTTCAAGCAGATGCCAATGTTTTGTTATACTTAAGGAGTTTTGATTTTGTGTGAGTAAATAAAACTGTTATTCGTTTTCTTCAAACACATCTCCCAACCAGTTTCATTGTCTGATATTGCTTTTCTCCTTATAATTGAGTTAATGCAATTAAAATCTATTGTGATAGGTTGCTGTGAATGATTCCTTTTATTATTACTATTAAAAACATTTCAGAAATCTGGATCCATATGGATGTGCAGTGCATTTTCTCGAGTCAGCTTTTCGCAACACTCGGAATGGAGGGATCATCGTCATAACCTCTACCGATGTAGCGTCACTGTATGGGAAGTGCAGCCATGTTGGACTGAGGAATTATGGGGCATATGTTGTGAAGACAGACTACATGAAGGAAATGGCTGCAAGGATGGTGTTGGGGGCTGCTGCAAGGTGAGATATACTGTACCCGTAACCCTGATTTTCTCTTTCAATGATACCGATTTGGATTTAAGATGTTGTTCTGATTTTAGCTGCAATCAAAAGAGATTTTACCTTCAATCAAAAGAGATTTTACCTTCAATCAAAAGATCTACACGTATATTGTATGTCTCAAAAATCTAGGAAACATTTAATACAAATGGTGTTACGCTGATTTATCATCTGTTTTGAAAGGAACAGTTGCGTTGTTGTCAAAGTTTGTAAATAGTATCTTGTCATTTTTAAATCATCTTATGTATGCAGTGTACTAGTAGGTGTTATAAGAACTGAACTGTTTGAGGTGTTTTAGTTACTGTAGTTAAAAGTTATATGTTATCTTTTTTCAAGGTGAGTTACAATATTTAACACATTGCTTTTTCCAACCACTTATACATATTGACTACAGATAATTTGGACAAAACGAAAATGACCAATGGAAATCGTAACACTCAAAAGAATCAGGCCCAGCAATTTCTTATGTCTCTTTTATTTCCTAAGATGTGCCACAAGATGTAACAAGGGGTTTGAGGTCTTGGTCTCCATTGCCGTGGAACATTTTGTACTGGTGGCAGTAAGGATATGTCGTGGCCCGAAATACGCAGATGCAATAGTTCCCCTGGTCCAGCGAGTTCTTCACTGCCAGATATGTGAAGAGAGGGTCTTCTATCCCCCGGCTCACACACCTGTAGGTTAGTATGGTGTAGACTTTCTTCTGTATATTGTTAAATGATTACAGATTTTGACATTTACCAATTGGCAGAGAAGCAGAGTCACTGAAGGTCAGTTATTTTTAATGAGTTAACTTCCTGGTCAACAAACTCATTTATATTTTGGATATCCATGGTCACTATATGTCAGCAAAAATTTCTCGATGTGTCTGAACTATTTTCGATTAATTAAAAAATTTGTAATAATGTTACAAACTAGTTAAAGTGGGTTTGGTGTTTTGGTCACTTCTCCAAGGTTCAACACTCAACTGGGATAGGCGACTTTGGCATTGGTCAATTATCCCAGCCTCAACCTAGCCAAGAGGTGACCTCAACAGAAGTCAATCATTGTACAGCATATTTGTAGGACTTAACATATCTAGTTGATTGAAAAGATGCAGCAAGGTGTGTATATGACATTTTCTCATGCTTTGCAGTGATTAAAATCACATGCACCTGGCCAATTCATGGCATGTCCTTTAGTTAAACCAGTAAGAACTGTACACCTTCATATATAATATTTATGTGTTTTTATTTTTGTAGAGGCCCCGTACACCCTGCTTGCATGTGACTGTACACAGAAGTATCCTGGGAAGACAGCATTGGACCTAGGTCCCGTGTGGTGAGTGGATGGGTGTGGTGAATGGGTGGATGGGTGGGTGGGTATGGTACTGAGGTGGGTGGGTGGGTGGGGTGAGTGGATAGGTGGATGGGTGGGTGTGGTGAGAGGGTGGGTGGGTGTGGTAGTGAGGTGGGTTGGTGGGTATGGTAGTAAGGTGGTTGGGTATGGGAGTGAGGTATGTGGGTGGTATGTGGGTGACCCGTGAACTTGAGGTACATATTTTTGTGATTATATTTAACCTGGATCTTGTGTCACAAGCACGGTGGATAAGTATTGTGAGAGTAAGGTAGTGATGTTTTGGGGTTGGGTTTTGAAGGGGAGGTTTGAGCTTTTAACATTTGGTAAGTTCTTAAAAGAGAAACAATAAAACAAAAATTTGCAAAATAACAATGTTCCAATGAGAGGTTGTCGGAAATTGAAAGCAGACAATTTTCTTTCATACTTATTAATTAGGGTGCCGTATCATTTACTCACACCTTAAATGTGAAATGTTTTGGATTGAAAAAAACTTTTTTTATCTAAGATGTCAACCTCTTCATAATTGAAAATATACAGTTATTAGAATAACAATATGAAATGTGGATTGTTGCTTTTCTTCCAGGATTGGTAAGATCTTCTCCTGCACGTTCATCAGTAAAATGCTCAAGTCTGCGAGGAATCTGAAGCTGAGTTCTAGACTTTGCTCTTTGTTAGAGACAGTGCATTGTGAGGCTTCGTGTCCAGATCTAGTGACACCAAGAACATTAACTAACCACTCACATCCAGAGATTACAGATGAAATGAGAGGAAAAGAAAGTGGCCTCTATGAAGGTGGACAAAATGAGAGTCTCATAGAAAAAACACATAACCAGACCCAGGGATGTGTTAATATAAGTGAACTAGAGGATGCTCCAATTACCAGTAACTTTGAAAATGTGGAAACAACAAAGGGTGTAACAAATATAAGTCAGGGAGAAACATCTTCATCTCTGAAGAGAAAATCTGAGGCTTTAGAGTCACCAGAGGGAGGCACGGTGGCCAAGAAGAGAAAACCTCAAACCTTGAGTGTTGAGGACCCAGTCCCTTTCTATTACAGTGTTCACAGACACAGGATCAAAGGGGTGGATTTGCCAAAGTAAGAATAACTGATAGATTTGGATCTTGGATTTTATCAAGTATAATAATTTTATTTTATCTAGTATAATAATTATTTTTGAGAAGAATAGTATTAATTTTTTAATGCCTGACTAACCAAGAGTATCTTCATGAATTTATGACTTTGAAATGTGGATGAATATTTGAAAGGAGTTACTTGGATATGTAGAAATGGTCATAATTGCTTTGAGAATTTAATTTCAAAAATTGATTTCTTAAATTTGGTGGACAGTCAATTATACAGTTGAATTTTAGCTGGTTCAGATATTAGAAATGTAGTTTCTTTTTGAAAATGATAAAAATTTTATTGCCATCTTTGCTATTATTATAAGGTACTAAGATATGTTCAGCTCCAGTGTGTTTGTGTAATAATAAAATTATCTTTTTCTTTCTTTCAGAGCCCCCAAACTAGTCAAATTCCTCCAGTCGGAGGGATATTGTGCCAGTCGAACCCATTTCGATCCAACTGCTGTGAAAACTTCTGCCAATCTTTCACAGTTGAAGGCAGTGTTATTAAAACATTGCAAGACTGTTGATACCACCTGACCAAATTTTGTTTGATGTCGAGCTATTAGCCAGTAGACAGATGCCTCAAAATCACAAATTGTCAATTTTTTAAAAATGAACAAAATGCATTACAGAAACTGGACTTAATTAAGGAAGTTTCTTATATAAGAGAAGAGGTTTTTTCACATATTGGCACAATAAACATAATATGGAAATTGACTTAGGTCGCATTCACAACAGATGATCTTTAGATCTACTGGTCCGAGGATAAAATATTGCAGACCCTACTTGAAAACAAGACCTTCTAATCCCTTAGTCTCTATATATTTGCCTTCCCTGCAGGGACCTAGCAATTAAACCATGAAGTGAAGTGGATATTTAATCCATGTGGAGGCGAAGAGACCATAAAAGGATTAGGCGATCTTGCTTTCATGTGGGGTCCGCCATGTTTGATCCGCAGGTCAGTAGATTCGAGGATCATCTGTTCTGAATGTAACCTTAGGTGCCCAGACTGTTTTTCTTTCAATATTAATACAAAAACTCTGAGCCAGTTTCAAATTTTGTATGTTGTGATTTTGCAATATTAATTTGATAATTTTTTCATCTGCTTTATTGAGCAAAGAATATATATTTTAATATACTAGCCACAGTCTCGAGATAAAATGTTTTACCCCTAATTACAGTGCTTTGTGCAATTTGGAGAAGTTCATATTAGTTTATTGTAAAATTATGCTGTTTCACACACTTGTAATATTGTACGAGCTCAGTTATAGAACATAAAATTTACTTTGAAATTAAGATCAAAATGATGTATCTGAGCCATATTTGAAAATGACAAAGTTTGTATTTTCATAAAAAATTAAATAATAAAACTTCACTGGGTATCTTGTAATATTTTATTTTGTACATATATACAAAAAAATTGGCTTGCAATCTTTACAATTTTGCAATGCTTGGGTCCACATAGCTTTTTAACTGCACAGGCTTTACTTCTAGACTGCATTTTCTGGCACAAGGAAATTTCTTGACTTTTGAGACCCTATGTGTTCTAATAAACAATAAATCTTAGCAGTTGCCCACTTTTATAAACCACAATCTCGTATCTTAATGGGCTTATTTTATCCATAACTTAAAGGTGGGATGGACATCTGATTTCAGCAACACTGCTACAGAACGTGACAATGTAAACAAATAAAAGATACTGAAATTGTTTCATACACGCTACTAGTTACAGACATCATCAATATTAACACATCTTAGCTTGGAATGGACAAATATCACTGAAATGTGTGATATGAAACTACAAATACTTGAATGGGTCAATACATTGCATCACTGAACTATTCAAGAATGGGAAAACATATTGGAAATGTGAAGATGCAATGTGAAAACATGAAGCTCCATGGAAATGCACGCTTATTTTAACTGCACTAGCCAAATGCTTTACATGTAGAGCATTCTATATAAGTAGCAATAATGACAAACACTTGGACACAAATGCCTGGGTCTTGGTAATCTCACCAAGGGGTGACCATCCAACGCCAGATTTATTGTCACCTGTAAGCATCAAAAACTCGAAGAAATGCATTTTTTTTTTACCAAATGGAAAAGTCTTGGTCATCAGATGACTTACTGTGAATTTTGACCAATACGCAAGCCCCCATTGTCCACAATCTATTTGCAGCATGCTCTTGAAAGAATTTGAACATCATGTCTATACCCGAAGATCAGTTCTAGAATACCCAGTATCTAAGAATGAGCAGGATTATTATGACAATAACGATAACTGCTCCTATCTTGGCATATGAGGACTTGAGGTTCAAGTAGTGGGCGTCTTTCTTGTACTTTTGTGACAGTGTGGAAAGATTGGCTGCTTTTGTGTCCAATGCTGAAATGAAATGAAATGAAATATTGTAATATAATGTAATATTGAGCAAATGTTTCTCTGAGAACAAAAGATATGCAGTTAGCCACCATGTTTGAGTGTCTTAGACTCTTACCAACCTGGCCACACTTGGTTTCAAAGGCCCCATTCAGAATAGGGGACTAACTAGTCCAAGGGTCAAATACGGCCGACCCACTTGAAAACTTCCCCATGGGATATCTATTCAGTGTCTATTAGCGGATTAGACGGCAAGCTTTGTAGTGGGTCACCATATTTGACCCTCTGACTAGTTAGTCCCCTATTCTGAATGTGGCAATAGTAGCATTTATGTCAAATACACAGATACATGCAAAATCCTCTTGTGCAAAACACTTGTGGCTTATATAAAATTGCATGTCTCATAACATCCATTACATATATGACCTAGTAAAATACAATAAAAGAGCATATATAAATATGATACTTAGTGTTGAAGATGCAGAAAAAAACAATGTAAGATTCCATTATATTTCAAAGGACTGGATCTTTGCACCTTTTTCCTTGTCAATGCTTGCAAAAAGTTCCCCCTCTATAACTTAGCATTCACCAATAAGCACTTGCATATAATTCCACATGGAAATCCCCATCATAATCATTAAAATTGTTCATACACAAAGCATTAATTTACCTGATAATGCTTCCCCTCTCTGTAATACATCATCAATGTTTTGCACCATGATTCTTTGGACATCTTGTAGTTCTGTGTTGATATGTCCAAGGTTTCTTCTAGCTCTGGAGTCCATGTATGATTTTTTGGCCTTTTGAATATATGTATCTGAGAAAGACAGGAAACGATTCTATTATAAAATTATAAATGTTATATTCAAGAAATGAAAAAAGGTAGATGCTCACAAAAATATTGCCACATGTTACCTACATAACGTGAAATAAATTATCACTTTTTCATTTTTTTTCACAATTACTGTAAATTATGCCCTTCATTTTTTTTAAACAAAAGAATTTATTTCATCTTTCACTTGTCATAATATTCTACAAATAAATGCTCAAACAAAAATGCATTACTAATTAATTAAATGTATTCCAGTAGCAAAGATATATCTATGCAGCGTTCTCTTTTATTAAAAAAAAAAATGACCAAGTCATTAACATCTTTCCCACTTTGAAAACTATAATATAAATGGCCATCCCAACAGTCCATTCATGAAATAAAACATTCTGTTCATTTTCATCTGAAAGTTGTATAACTCGACTAGACCTACCAAATTCAATAAAACTGTATGGCCTGGATACTGTTTGTATTTTTGTCCCATATTGCATATTAAATTCTGTTTGTAAATCTTCTAGGTATGTGTATGCTAGTCTTTTGGAAAATGATTGTTCACACAGGACAAGGTAACACACCCCTCTCTCAATCAGGTAGCTGAAAAAAAGAAAAGATCTTCACTGCAGTACATCCACCTAAAATTTAATGCAGAATTTGTTAAATATCTTTTTAAGTAATTTAAATGATTATTAGTAACAGTAAACTAGAGACTGGACATGGAAACAAAAATTATTCACAGAATGTTCATATGTTATTGTAGATGTTTACCTGTGACAGTTTGATAAGTATTGTGTCTATGTACATTAAGTTGCATGGACACAATGTTGTGTTAAACTGCTGGTAGGCAAACTCATACGCCACACCCATGCACACACACATACGCACATGCATATGAACATACTCAAAACACACACACACACACACACAGACGCCTACTTACTGGAAAACATAAGCACCAGCCTCCAAGCTACATCTGACTGGGGATTGTTCGTTGAGTTTCTTAAACAACTGTTTGGCTTTATTTTGATACTCCATCAACCCTCGACCAGACTGAAAGAAAATTGGGAAAATCAAATCAAAAAATAACATTCACTAAAATGTTTTTGCAGTGTTTTATTATAATTATGATAGTTCAAAGAATATGAAAAAGTTTATTTATTAATGTGATTCTTATTGTTAATTTGGTTGAGGTGGGGAACTCTAACATTTAAGTTACTAGTACATCTTTTCTACTTGTGATTCTTCATTTTTTTGGTTAACTTCTAGTAATGTAGCCTTGGCTACCATCAACTGTTGAATTCAATGATTTCAGTAATGCATGCAAAATGAACATAATACTGTGAGGATGTTCCCATTCCAGATGATATAATTTACTGGTACCAAATTAGCTGTTCCCATTTGACCATTGCAAAAAAAAAAGGGAAAGGGGGGGGGGGAGGGCTTGCAATCTATCATTTCCCATGGATAAGGTTTAATCAGTGCCTTTTCCTATGGGTACATTTTCCCCCCAAGTACTCATTTCCGCCTAATAATTTTCCAAACTGTCTGTTCCCATTGGCATCACACCATATGCACCCCCGTTATCATTTATGAGTCCTTACCAGTAATTTAGTTGCTAGTGGTATGTTTAAATAATATCTGTTATCACCATAACTTAAACATTCTGGTGTATAGAATTATCAGACTGGACTGTCAGCTTTTGCATGTTAATCTATCTAATCATAATGATTTGGTATCTTAATTTCAAGTTGGAAAGTCAAGAGTCAATTTGTGTGAGAAACTCTAATAAATTTTCAAAAATCGTTGACACTAAAACTCACCATTACTCTGCCTTTTTCCAAGTGATAAATGTGCGTTCATATGAACGCCGAGTTTATCACGCAAGCATGATCTTTAACTTGGAGTTTACGATAATGTCATCCGAAGAAACTGGCCAACGTGGAACTTGAAGTTTGAACTCGTGAAATGTCCACGCTTACCTGTTCGTCTTCTTGCATTGACGCCGCTAAAGGTAGCCCGTCCACTAGACGTGCGATTAGTGTCATCAACACCATGTTGTGTATGTGCTTATTTGATGCTACTTTTATCTGAAATTTGATTAAATCTGGTCTCTCACAGTGACACAGTTAATTCAATAACACTGACGTGGCCAAATGTACGCAAGACAGGAACTATGACCTACTTCATACTTCCGGTATATTCGGCAAAGTTCGTAAGTAAGTTTTGATCAAAATTTTCTTGATTTATTGTTATTTAGTGCATCTATTTTATAAGTGCAGGGGTATATTATAAATATGCCTTTTAATTATTATATATGCTTAGCTAAAAGTTGCTTAAATAAAACTAGGTCAATAAAAACGATTACCGAAAACACGTAGCATCGACTTCGGCATTAAAATGGCCGACCTTACAGATGGTTCCGTGACAGGGGCATATTCGGCTCTTTTTCACAAAGAATAGGTGTTTGAGAATAAAAGGAGACATTGTTAACCCAAGGTAGGTAGAATAGCTCGATGTAACAGCCACACTTTAGGAAACCTAATGTGATTACATGAAAATTAAGACATAATTCTTATTGAATCAAACAGCTGTGTATTGACTTCCTTCAGTTTTCTCACATAATGACATTGGCTTTTATAAATATTTTGATATCAAACTGAGAACTGTCTTTAAATTGACTTTGTTGAATTTGAAAATTTATGCTGAATCGATACAGTTCAACCAGATACTAGTCTTTGGTTAGACTGGGTTTTCTTTTTACGTTATGAACGTTAAATATGGAAGTAACTGTTTTACATGTCAGGTACATTACGATAAATATAGGTCTGCGTTCTATGTGTGATCTCTTGCGTGATAAGCCTGGGGTTAAATACAGGTGCATTTAAGTATGTTATTACGATTCCAAAAAGACTGAGATATTCAAATACAGACTAAGTTAGAAAACCTTATGCAGTGATAGTCACTTAACTGATGTGTAACTTGTCGTACTGATGAGATGTTCATTTACAGCAATCTGAAAAAAGAGGAAAATTTCATTTGAAAATGGTCAAAACATGAATCAGGCCCACCAATTACTTATAAGTGATAACAAATATTTTATTACTAGGTACTATCAAGAACCATTTGCAGCCTGTGCAGATAGAAGAAAATACAATATTGAGTAAAGTGTAATAAGCCTACTTAGAGGTGAGTAAGTGGAAAGTTGAATTTTTACAGCATTTCACACATTTATCTGTTAAAAGTGATAGTGAAATTGTGGAATCTTTTATGACTTTAAATAGTGTCCTCATTATTGCTAAATCTTTTTTTACCCATAGATTGAGTTGCTCACAAATTTGTATCGTGTTTTCTATTTTCATAGAGCAATTGTAAATTTTGTGTGGCAAACAAGCTTTTATGCATAAATTCTATAAGTTGTTAGGTTATTATATGATAAGAAATTGTGTCAGTGCACTAACAGTTTCAAATTATTTTGTCCAGATTTCATGACAGTAGTGTACAGGACAGATTCATTTTTTTTTTTGACAGTGAATCATTAATTTACTTAATATTCAAGAAAACCCATCATAACCTCTTTTCTGTACAAAATTTGTCTGATTGAAATGGATGCCTGATTGAAAATAGTTTGCAAGAAGCCATGAAGTAGGAGTGAAAGTTTTCAGCAAATTCAGGTTTCATTTCATTTGTTCATTTGACACTGTTTAGGATACACCATCAATTCATTGTTGGTTGATTTAAAAACTTACAAGTTTAATTTATGTCAGGGCATTTTTATGTACAAACATCACCTGCATCTACCTTGCCCTTTCAGAGATAACAGGGTAAGTTGAAAACTGTTTGACTTTGTGTTTTGTTTATGTTACAGGTTTGTCCAAGATGAGTCAAACACAGCCGTGGCAGGTTCCCGGGTTTGACCCTGCTGCCAGCGGCAAGGTGCAGATGTTCAACCCAGCCCAGTTTGACAATATTCATCAACAGCCACCATCACAACAACATCAACAGCAGCCGCAGCAACAACAACAACACAATGAAAACAACCAACAACAACAACAATACCCAGCCACAGATGGGTTTCAACTCAACCCCAATGCAGCAAGCTTTAACAGCACTGGTTTTTCCCCCATGGACCCTGCAAACATGGCAGCCCCATATATTATGAATGGGGGCTATGATAACAACTGGGGACAGCAGAGCTGGGGAACGGACTCCTGGAACCAGTGGAGCCAGCCAGCCGGGCAGTATGGCTGGAATGGTGGGGATGGCAGTGGCTATGGGGGAACCCAGGGGGATTGGCAGAATCTCGAACCAGGGGACGAGTGGGCCACCCAGGGGAATGAGCAGTGGAATACCCTGGGGAATGAGGAATGGAATAGTAATACCCAGGGGAATGAATGGAATACCCAGGGGAATGAGTGGAATGCCCATGGGAATGATGAGTGGAATACCCAAGGAAATGGTGGGTGGACACAGGATCAGTCTCAGCAGGATGGGGAACAACTGACCAACCACGTCCAGTCTGGTCAGTTTTACTCCAGTGACCATGGGCAACATGTAGATGGACATGTGCCACAGAACACTGGGCAGCATGTTAATCAGGAGGACACGGGGGAGCAGAAAGAACAACAGGAAGGTTACCATAGCAACACTGATTATGAACAGTTTCCAAGTTTAAATGTCGATGGTATTGATCAGGTGCCTGATCATGACAATTCGCAATCTGTGAAAAATAAAGAGGAAATACCTGTTACGTCAGATGTTTCTGGTGGTGATCCATCTGTCAACAATCAGTACCTTGCACCAGGCGGACAGACTGGTTTGGTGAGGAATTTATCAAACATAAGTGATTCTAGTCTCGTGACAGTGAACTTCTCCCGTCAGAATTCTGAGTATGAGAGGGATGATAGAGAAAAGCTAAGGGAGCAAGTGGCCACTTTATCCATTCAGGATACCCTAGGGGAGCACAGAGGTGATCCTGCTGGTGCACAGGTCTTTAACCCTCATGCTCACTTCAGTAACCCCGATATGCAATCACACTCCCCCTTTGATGACCTGGTTCAAGGGCAAGGTCATCAGCAGGGTGAAGGTCAGGTCGGAGGTCAAATGGAAGTGAAGGTTGCACCAGGTCACAGTACGGAGAGCTCTTTTAACAAGCCACTTTTTGTTGTGGGGGGTTCTGCTGACACCTCGGCTCACAACAGTGCCGCAGGGTCCCCTGCTCCTCCGGACGTTCACCCGGAACAGCAACAGCAGAATGCTCAGGTACATTCCCACCCTCAGCACATCCAACAACAACCACCACCAGAGGGCAGTGGTGCACCAGTCCAAGACAGACCACCTTCAGACCACCAGCAGCATGGAAGACCTCCATCCTCTCAATCTGTTCATTCTAATGCCAGTGCACAGAGTGGAGATAGACTGCTCCACGGTCATGGAGAGGCTGCCTCTATTTCTACCACCACTGGTCAGAATACAGAAACTGTGAACCCTGCCAAAGATAATGTACACAGTCCTGGGGTAGACCTTAGTAGCCCACTGCCCCCTCCTCCTCCTATGGTGGGCAAAGGGGGAGAGAATCCTTACAGGAAAAGCCCTATGAATGCACCAGTACCACCAGTGGAGACAACACAGTCGCATCAACCCAGTGTTGGCAGTGGAGATGGCGGCACCTCCCCTGAGGTCCATATGGATATATTTGCCAGCACGATTACGCCAAGAAAGGAGAGCCCATTCCAACCCCCGCTGAGGGCGCCCAAGATCCTCCCGTACCCGGAGGCACTACAGCACACAGATACCGCTGCTGGTAAGCCAGAGGTTTCTGAACATTCCAAGTCTGGTCATCCTGTGTCTGTGACCCAGGCGGACCTCCGGAGCGCAGATGCCCCTCCCCCTGGGAGTCCCCAGCGTAGGTTATCAACACAGAGACTACGAGACCATCACAACATGTCTCCTGCGACAACTCTATGGGAAAATCCAGCTCCACTGTCTCTGGTTGCTAATAATATACTTTTGGCTCCAGCAGCCTCAACTATAAGTCCGATGACAGTGGATCGGACTCCAGTTAAACCAGCTGGGCCTGCAGGAGTGCAGCCAACTTTACCAGCTGAAAGTCATTTGGGGATAGTCCCTCATCAAAGTGATAATTTCAGTGATACCTCCTCTCTGAAGTCTGAAGACGTCGAGGTCAGTAAGATTACAGCTGCCCCAGGGGGAGAAACTGCCAAACCAACCCCAGTTAGCAAACCAACGCCAAGTCAGCCAAAACAAAATCCAGTCAATACCCCCAGTGCCAACCAGCCCCTTCCTCTTCCTCCTTCTCAACCTCCTCCTCCTCCTCAGCAACATGTGAATCAAAACCTGAGCCAAAAGACAGATGGCACGTCCATTTCAGGAAAAGAAAACGCCAAAGATGAAATCCAAGAGACGCCAAAACGTCCAGTAGAAGATCGCCAGAGAGGCAGTCGAGATCAGAGGTCCAATGAAGATACGGGTGGTGACCGGGGCAGGAGAGATGACCGACCAGATGAAAGGAACTATAGAAGAGATGACGACAGACTAGACGACAGAGACAGAGTTAGACCAGGAGATAGAGACAGAGAGGAGGACAGGGATCGTAGAAAACCACGCTATGACAGATATGGTCGGCCGTACGATGACTATGACAGAGATCGAGACAGGTACAGACCCTCTAGTCGCCAGGGTTACGATGATGACAGATCTAGGGGGGAATATGATAGCTCGGCTGATCCCAGCCCCAGGGGGAGTAGACCTGGTGAGTATGAAAGAATAAGTTGAGTGTGAAAAGTTTGTGTAAAGATTTGTAATGAGGTGAATCAAATGTGAAGAAGTAATATGCAGTTACTTGTAGCTTGTTTTGCCAATTGGTGAATAATTTCAAAGATGGTCAAACACTGTTGATTGCTTCATGTGGTTGTTGGTCGATTCAAGCTAGTCTAAAACTTGGGAGTTATGCAAAAGCAAGTTAGATAAATGATATCATAGTAATTTATGTTTTATTTACCAGCTTGTCACCTACAAGGGGTGAAGTAAGTATTTAAACAAATCTTGTCTGATCAATAGGACAAAGAATTTGATTTTTTGCTCTCAAGAAAATGAACCCCATGACAAACCTGTCACCCCTAAAATTTTCAGAAGATCGTGATGGACCAAGATCCAGAAGTGATTATGATAGAGATCGACCAAGATACAGAGATGATTACGACAGAGACAGGCCTCGATCAAGAACCGATTACGACAGGGATAGACCTCAATCTAGGACTGACTATGACAGAGATAGGCCTCGATCTAGGACTGATTATGATAGAGATCGACCACGATCCAGGGCCGATTATGATCGAGATAGACCAAGTTCTAGAACTGATTATGATAGAGATCGCCCCAGGTCTAGAAATGACTATGACAGAGATAGGGGAAGGTACCGACCTAGTTCAAGGAATGACGATGGGCGTAGGAGAGACAGGGATTACTATTCAGACAGAAGAGATCCATACTATAGCGATCCGAGATATAGTAAAGGTAGGTTGACAACATAGAATATATGAAGAGGGAATGTTCTAATAGAAAAGTGTGATACCACCTAAGACTTGTTGGGTCATTGATACTCATCATTTCCCTGTTGAAGATCGTTTGTAGGTATCACAATGTCAGAGCTTTTGATGGAAATTCATATGTGTAGTCTGTTGTACATGGTCATAAGTTTTAACTTTTCACTTTCTACACTATAGCTATACCTCACAATAATTTTTGTAACTCTGTGACCTGTCTCACTCAGTGTGTAATTATGAGAATTAACACTACTAATGTCTCAGTAATATTGTTGCCCCATGTGTGCCACAATTGGGGTCTTCCCCGGGCCCCATCTCAGCCCAGGTATGGAAACTATGCTGGCCTCCCCGAGAGGGGCTAGGAATGAGAGTTCCTCAGGCTTGCTTTTTAACAAAATCAGCTGCCATGTTCTAAAAGAAATGTGGAAGTAAATCTATGCAGGTGGTTGTGTTAAACAGTTTATTTACAATGAAGTTCAAATATCATTGTGATTTTTATATTATTGAGACACTGAAAAAAAGCACTAGCATAATGGTAGTGATCAAAAATTTTGCAACAGATATTGCTGTGGAAAGCAGAGTTTCTCACTGTCCATTCTGTATTTCAGAATATTATGACTACTACAAGAAGTACTATGGCTATGGCAGTGCTGAGGACTATTACAATAGCTATTACTACGGCAGACAGAGGGACCCCTATAGCAAGGGGTATGCAGAGGAGATGAAGTTACAGGGACAGCAGCCATATGATGACAGGTAGATCTCTCTCTCTCCTTCTCTCCCACTCTCTCCCTCCCTCTCGCCCTTTTATGCCTCTTGGACTACTTTGGCCAAATACTGTCTGTGGCAGGAGTTTAAAGAAAAAAAAACTTGGATAGAAATTTTGACTGATTGTATAATACTAATGAAGTCCTACCATATATTTATGCAAAAGTGAAGTTACTCCTTTCAAGGGATCAATAGGAAGTTGGGTAGAAAACTATGTTGACCAGCTTTAAAAATCCCTAATTTTTTTTCTTATCCAGAAAATATAAAGAAATTTAATATGTATGTATTTCAGGTATAGAGATTACTATGCCAGGCAGTACAGTGGAAGCCAGCAGTATGGATACAACTATGACTATAGTGGGCGTGGCAGTCAGCCTGGCTCCAGGAGTCAAACTCCAGGAATGGAGTAAGTATTTTAAAAACAGTACTAATATTGTTAGGCAGTCAGTCTGGCTCCAGGAGTCAGATTCCAGGAATAGAGTTAGTGTGAAACAAGGCTCATATTACTGTGAATAGCATATTCATATATCAGTTTGGCGTAATGAAATCCTTGGATTGGATATGTTAGTGCGTAGTACAATTTTTATTATTTAAAATCATGTATTGAATCCAAAATATTTAAACCTTATTTTCATTCAAATTTTTTGGGTGATTTGCAACCAGTTACAAATATAATCATACTTTTATCACACTTGTATTTCCCCAGAGATCCATATGCTGGTTACTACAGTGACCCTCACAACCAATCCTATGCAGACTACTATAACCAGTATTACTATGGTGATACATCATACAGTCAGCAGTCACAGGCAGGAGCTGGCCAGGAGGGGCAGGGTAAGAGGAGTTCACATACACTACTGCTGTGTATAAACACGAGATTCCTTGAAACATGGGATTCCTTGAAATTGCTCTGACTTGTGGTGAAGTAGGTTTTTCATTGTATAATGATGGTGAAAATGGTATTTTTTCCGAAGACTTCAGTTGTATTTGGTCCATTAGGCATTTGTATTTATCCTTAATTTACAGTTCTAATTGATGGGTAAGTCATGTGATTCAGGCTCTTTGATGAGTAATGTTATTACCCTCGCCATACAGGTCGTTTTTGCCTTTGTTGGTTTGTCAACCTTACCCAAAAAATTGTGCATGGATTTTGATTGAATTTTCAACAATATATAAGCGTCTCAAGGTACAGAATTAACAAACTAAGAATATGTTGTATTTTGGTGGTAAATGCTTAATTGATAAATTAATTGATAATGAGAATTGAGCTGCATTGATGGTGGTCAGATCAGCTTTCCTAGTTAGCAATGTAAAACAGTAGGAGCATAGAACAGTGTAGTCATTTAACCAGTATGATATCTTTTAATGAGTTTCAAGCAAAGTCAAACTGACCCACTGAAAGATCATAGTTAATTGAGTTCTTTCTTTTCTCTGCACAGCATCTGAGTCTCTGGAACCCAAGGAACCTGCCCGCATGACTCCCGTCAAGTTCTCCATCCCCCACGTACGTGCCACCTTCAGTGCTTGTGGTCATCTGGTCAAGGTGCTGCCCAACTGTCCATCCAGTGGGGAGCCTGCCATGGTCCACATCAGTGATTTGGAATCTGTGATACCCGAGTCTGACGAGGCAGAGGAATTACGAATATTCCCTGGACCGTTGATAAAGTAAGGTGGAATTGAATCATGGATAAAATGCTATTTTGATAAGGGGATTCATAAAGAATTCTCTATGTTACAGTAACAGGTTATAGGTTTTGTACCTCTGTTGTGACAGATTAACAGAAATTAACATTGCTTGAAGCACACTTATTAAAAATTTTTAACAAATAAAATATTTGATTATGTTATATTTTTCAAAAGCTATGTTAAATTTGGTTATTTGTTTAAATACAATTTCCTTATTTTTCCAGGGGCCAGACCCATAAGAACGATGTGATAGCATTCTGCATGCACAAGGCCAAGGAGTGCAGGGAAAACGTGAACATGATAGACAGGGAGAGTGCTGAGCTGCTCTGGAAGTTCTTAGTTCTGCTTATCAAACAGAATGGGGTAAGTTTTGGCCACTTCTACTCCAGGACCGAAAAGGTCTAGTTTGCCATTTTCCTTTTCATGTCTTGTGGTATTGTACTTAACTGGACTAGTCCAGTTTGAGAGATTGAGAATTGTGTGAGAGGGTCACCTCAATAGAGCCTGCATGCTCAACTAGGTCCATTAATTATCATTCAGCAGGAAGTGAATTTGTGAAGAACTTGTGACAGGGTTCAAATCCCCCTGTATGGTAATTTGTTAGGAGCTTTCAAAGTTGACTGCTTCAGTTAGGAATACCACTTTATGTGAAAAGGGAAAATCTGATTGCTGAAAAATTAGAACAGAAGTAAGGACATTGTTAATCAATATTTAGAGGATTAATAAGAAAGATTGAGGTGTGATTTAATAAAATAAAAATAAAATTTAAAGAAAAAAAAATAAATTGGAAATAGCATTCTCTGGGATACAGTGGTGCAGGATCTGGTGATGAACTTAAAGATCTGTGTGAGATATGTTCATTAACAGGGGGTAGTTTATTAAAAAAAATTGTAGTTCTCAAATTTAAATTTTTTTAAATTCCAGACTGTGGTGGGCACAGATGTTTCAGAACTTCTCCTAGAGGGCCACGAGCCGACGACGCGCGAGTACAACCGTATGGGAATGAAGATAGTGTCTAGTGCAATGGAGTTGGATGCCTTGGAAGAGGAGTCGGACAGTGTTCAGCAAGATTCTGTTGCCACTGGCGACGACCTCAATAACACGTCTGTGACGAGTGACAGGTCATTTGTGAACAAACGAGGGTTGCTACGAGACGAGAGTGTTGATAGGTTTAGACATTTGTTGCTGTTTGGAAGAAAGAAGGTAAGTTGTTTGCCTCCTCTTTGTGTGCTGTAAGTTTAAATTTCTAAAGGCATTATTTCTACTGCCATGAGTATTTGTGTCAGTAAGTATTTTTTTATATTAATTTAATGAAAGAGTTAAGTTTGGGTTTGTGATATAAATCCCATTATGAATGCATGGATCTTTCAGCTTTATGATCCAGAAAGTTCAACCTCGGGTTCAAGTTTAGAGATGATTTAGTCAGTGTGACTCATTTTTTATGCTCAATTTATTTGATAAAATTCAATATCATCCGTACAGGATGCCCTGGAATGTGCAATGAAAAATCAACTGTGGGGCCATGCTTTGTTCCTTGCCAGCAAGATGGACAATAGGACATATGCCAATGTCATGACAAGGTCAGTCCTGGGTGCCATATAGCATAATGGTCAACTTTTAACCCAAAATATTTTGTGGTTAATACTTTTTTATGTACAGACACAGATGTGTCTGTACATATAGCCATCATCTGCGTCTGTCGTCGTCGCCGTCGTCGCCGTCGGTGCCGTCGTTGCCGTCGTCGCCGTCGTGCACTTTTACCGATAACACGATAAGTGGAAAACCGTTTTTGCTTTTGGCTTGAAACTTACAGAACTGATGAATATTCATAATACGCAGGTCAAGTTCGAAAATCAGCATTATCGGTTCATTTTTAGGGAAGTTATGCTGTTTTTTTACTTTTTTCAGCATATATGCAGCACTGATAACACGATAAGTGGAAAACCATTTTACTTTTGGGCTTGAAACTTACAAAACTGATGAATATTCATAATCCGCAGGTCAAGTTCGAAAATCAGCATGATCGGTTCATTTTTAGGGTAGTTACGCTGTTTTTATGTACAGACACAGATGTGTCTGTACATATAGCCATCATCTGCGTCTGTCGTCGCCGTCGTCGCCGTCGTCGCTNTACCATAACATATTCATGTGACATTTAATTGCTAGTGTTCTTAATTTGAGTTGTAATTTTGACATTCATTTTGTTTCATTAATAGGAGTAAATGTGTTTTCATTTAAATTGGAAAATAATTAGATCTATAGTATTTTGATAATGACAAACTACACTGTTTTTCTTAGAAGTACTAAACTGTTATTTTTGTTATTATTTTATTTACTTGAATATTTTCAGATTTGCAAACAGTGCCATGAAGATGAATGATCCCCTCCAGACCATGTATCAGTTATTGTCTGGTAGACAGCCAGCTGCTGTTACTGTAAGTAAACCAACTAGGGTTGAGATATGATAAAAAATGTTTGTACAGATTTGATACAGATTTGTTTATATTGTACTCCACCTTGGTGATAGTCACTTTTCTGATGTTTGGAAAAGGACATATCAACCACAGCTTAAGTCTGTAATTGTTTCCAATCATGCACAATACATTGCTAGTTCTAAATGCATCATTTTTTCATCACAAATTTAGTCAATGACGGTGTAGTATTTGTTTAGTGAAAAATATGGTTATGTATTGTTGTCCGTATCTCTCAGATGAGAAATTTGGTAAAACTGGGAACAATTATATTGTTTGTTGTTATCAGTCGATTGTTAATTTAGGCATTTGTTATTACAGATATTGTTTTGAATGGATCTCAGAGGAAGGGTGAGGGGTTTGAAGTCCATACTTAGTACAATATGATTTTTTACTGATTGTAATTGTAATTATAATCGTTTTCAGTGTATCTCAGAAGAAGGCTGGGGAGACTGGAGACCTCACTTAGCTATGATATTGTCTAACACCACTCCAAAACCTGAACTAGACAGGAAGAGTATATCAACATTAGGGGACAGCTTAGGTAGGTCACATAACTGTACTTATATGTGTAATGTACCGTAAATTAATTTAAAGCATGACATTTTTGTATCTAAAGAAACTTAACAGGATTTTTTTTCTTTTTTTGCCTTAAAGGCAAAACATTTTGACACTTCATCAAAGGATCCCAAAAAAGATTGTATTTACACTTTGGTAGAAAAATTAAAATAATTGCTGAATCAGTTAGGGCATGTGAATTTCTCCTGTAAAATTTTCAGCTTCTCGTGGCTATCTCCATGCTAGTCATTTCTGCTACCTGATGGCACAGGTGAAGTTTGGAACCTTTGAGAGGAAGACTTCCAAGATTGTGCTGATTGGATCAAATCACAAGTAAGATACAGATCTGAATATTAGATCAAGGTGAAGGTCAGACCCCTGTCAAGGTCAGCATGTTTTGGAGACCAAGACATAGAAGTCATTGTAAAGCAACTTTTTATTTGATAAATCACATATAACAGAAAAACAGTATAATATTAATTCCCTTACCATGGTCATTTATTAGCATTGCCTATTTCTATGCCTTACTAAATCCATCTTTCTTCAACTGGACTTATTTTCTCACTTCCAGTCTGTCTCTTGATGAGTTTGCTGTCAACCTGGCTATCCAGTGTACAGAGATCTATGAGTATGCCCAGTCCCTGGGGAGTCCATACACTGCCATACCTACCTTCCAGCCATATAAGTTCATGTATGCATGCAGACTGGCAGAGCTTGGCTACTCTGAAGAGGTGAATGTTTTATATTAAGGCATACAATTTGACTTAAATGACTTAAAAGCAAATGGTAATCGTGATAATAAAATGTGATAATTTCAAAGCTTTTCTCCTAAATCACAAAGACGAGCCCTTCCAAATTAAATAACAGGTTTAAAGATCAAAATATCTCAACTTAAAAAAAAAAAAAAAAAAAAAAAAAAAAAAAAAAAAAAAAAAAAAAAAAAAAAAACAATGTCATATCTATTATTAATTCATAAAAAATATTTTGAAAAGCAAATTGGAAGCTGACACACTGTGGTGCAGTTTTGCATATTTGAAAATGATAAATGATTGTACTTGAGTGTGCTTGTCCAGCATCTTAACATATAGTGTACTATTTACATAATATAATATTATCTTGTAGGCGTTGACGTACTGTGAGGTGATCTCTAGTACAATCCAGCAGGCACCTGGTGCATACTCCCCTGTATTGGTCAAACAGTTGTATGAGGTACATCACAGCAGTTTCACTTATTGATCACCACAATAGTTTAGCAAACAGTTTAAGAGGAGAATTGGATCTGTGGATTGCTGTCATATTGAACCTTGTTTCACAAAACTACTTGGGGAACTTTTACTCTTAGCAAAGACTGCCAAAATACCCCACGTTGAATTTTTTTTAGCCTTTTATTTAGGTCTTTAGAGAGTTTATGAAGATTTTTATTCTTAATGGTGAAAATAGTCTGCATTTAATAAAGAAATTACATTTATTGTGGGCCAACAGTCATATAATAAAAGGGTTTTATATCATAATATCAGCTTTTCATTACAGTTGTTTGTGATGGAGAATTAAATTAGAGCTGTCTGTTACCCATCTAAATTAAGCCTAAAATGCAACTCTTGAGTAGACATTAAGTCTATTGCACATCAGTTATTTCATGTGTATGATTCTAATTGCAGCTTGGCAGCCGACTGAAGTACCACGACCCTCAGACCATCCACTCAGCTGATGGAGAGTTTGATGATCCTTACTGGCTCAAAGCTATGCCAAAGATCATGCAGGCTTTCCAGGTAATTATTTATTTATTTATTTATTTATTTATTTATGTAAGTATTGTTTGTAATAGAAATTATGTTATGTTGGAATGAGAAAGAAAATAATTAAGATTACTAATCAATCTTATTTGTCAGACATTATAATTTCAAGTTCAGATAATGAACATTATCAAATTGGTAGTCTGTAATGCTTCAAAATGCAGCCAAATTAAAACTAAGAAAATTGTATTTTATTTCTCACAGTACTTCTTTTTGTAGATCCTGTTATTGTCAGTGAATGTTTTTAAAGTCATACAGAAGAATTAAAATCATGATTACTAGTATATATTATATGAATCAAACTCTGGAACTTGCGATGCAAAATTCTACGCCAAACTAGCATGAGGGTCGTGACTGACACCTTGGATTGACTGGTTATTGGATGACCTGGTAACCTGGATTATTTTGCCACCTTATATAATTTCTTTGACCACCAAGGTGCCAGTATTTGATTTCTATGTATTCGAAACCTTGTTATTGGAACTTGTGCATTACACAGCTCATGCTCTTCCTTGCTGGGGTTCATCAAATTGATATTGTGTGGTTCTCTGTTTTCAAGGATGGTAGTATCCAGTACCTAAGTGGAGCAGACACTCCTGCAGGGTTCCTATCCAGCGCTGGCAGTGAGGACGCTGAGGGATTCAACCAGGATGCGTCCATGACTCATTACCAATCCTCCTGGCAGCAACAGCAGCAGTCTTTATACCAGGGGATAGATAACGTGGATGCTCAGCAGCAGCTGCAGGGATATGATACCCAGCAGTATCAAGGTATTACTTAATTAATAAGTTATTATAATAATACATCTATAAAGATCTACTATAAAGATGTTATGTCTAATCCAAGATTTCAGTCCCCAGGTCTTCTTCAGGGATTTGAAAAAAATGCCTAGGGCCCAGAACCTTGGAATAGACATTACATCTTTACAGTAGATCTGCATAGATGGATCATTATAATAACTTATTTCTTAAAGATCTATAAAGTGATTTGACTAGAAAACACTAATAAGAGAGGGTAGACTTATTAGATGTTTGAACAGTAGTGGATAAGCTTTTAAATCATGAACATGTCATTTAGCTGATAGGGTTTCAAAAAATGTACTATTTGTGGGGTTGGCAGCCTGATTTAGCTTGACTTTGTTGAACTTTAGGTTATTACCAGCAGCCAGAGGACGGTCAGCTTCAACAACAACGACAGCAGGGGGACTACCAGTTCTACAACCCGCAGGCAGGGTTTCAGGGATATGATAGCACACAACAGATACAAGGTAAAATTTTGAGGATTACATTGTAAAGTTTATTCGGTTATTGTATATATGTGTTATAATTTATTACTGACAAATACATATTATGGAAAATTTATGACCGTTTCGGGTTAAAAAAGAAATGAAATGAGGCTTATTTGAAGTAAAAATTAAAAGGTATCAACTAGAATATTAGGGAAAGTCATCTGATGTATATTTTCACTTTTGTAAATGCTTTGGCTGATATAATTTTATAAATGTAAAGGTATACATATATATTCATTTGTTTATTGATGAGTTAATTGATAGACAATTCCACAATTCCATTGTATGTTTTCTCCACTAGATGTCAGTCAGAGTCAAGACATTCATGATCAGACGGGAGAGTTCAAGCCATTTGGTGGCCACGACCTGAACTTAGCGGAAAGCTATGGCTCAAACTATACGACAACAACAGTGACATCTACAGGAAGCACAGACGACCCTGATTCACCGTTTGCTCAGAGTGCGGCAACGACAACATTTGATTACTATGACATGAATACTGCACAGCAGGTATAATTACATTCAGCTAGTATTGAACTTTCCGTTCTTTTTTTCATCCCTCAAAATAGTCATTCTGATTTATGTTTTTTTCTTTAAAAAAAATTAACCACCACTCTGTTTAATGACAAATTCATTTTGGATTATTAGAATCACGGTTGTCGACTTCTCATTTTTCAAAGTTCTAAAGTTGAAATTATTATTCATAAACATAAATAATAAAAGAAGTTAAAACTAAGTACCTGTCCTCATAAAGCTTTTACAGTTACCAAATTAATAATGTGATGATCTTTGTTTGTTGTTTATGTAACAATTGTTACTCTGCCAACATGTTTTTGCTGCTAACTTTGGTTATGGCTGTTCACAGCGCATGGGTTTGTTCTTATGTTTATTGCTTTTTTTCAGAAATATTTCTGTGCATTAACTTTTTTTCAGAACTGTGTTTTATTTTTATTACTGGTTATGCTTATGTTATTTTCTGGTGATTATTACTATGTGAAAACTTCATGGTCTCCTTAATTTGATTTAATTTGGCATCATTGTCAAAGATCATCCTTATTCCTGTATGTGTGAGTTGTCTGAGTACCTGCCATCATCATCTCTGTCTTCCTCATATTTTTCTGTCTTCATCTGTCATATTTTATATTTTTTCTAATGAGTTCAGATTTTTCCAAGATTTCTGTAACCACTGGCTCAAATTTATGATTTTTCTGACTCAGTTATATTCTTTTTCTGAGTTTCACAAAATATTTAAATAATCTGTTGAAGACCAGATGTGAAAATGTTTCATTGTGCTGTATGTATTTTTTTGCCTGTTAATTTTGCATGCAGCATGGAGGTCAGGTGGGTGAAGGTACCGGTCAGTTCTCTGGTCAGTTGTCTGGTCAGTTCATATCTAACAGACAAAAGAGAGACTCGCAGTCCACGGTAGGCAGTGGGTTGAGTGCAGAGCACACCATTACCCCACAAGGGAGCCAGCGTGGCACCCCGGGGGCGGACGCCAAGAGCACCCCGACCAAGGGGATTCAGTCTTATTTTCGTGCATCACAAAATGCCACCCCTCTGGAGTTCAAGGCGATTCAACAACAGCAACATAGAAGGGACAGTTGTATAGACATGCCATTGGGGAGTAATGAGTCACTGTTAATGGGTAATATGGGTGTGGCACAAGGACTGGGCAATGGTGGGCAGAAACCCCCGGGGACTTTCACCCCCATCCACAGTACCCCAGGGGGGAGTCAGAGAGGCACCCCAGTGCCAGAAACCACTGGTCATAGTGGTGGACAAGGTGCTGTCCAGTCCATGGTATCCTGGGTGATGAATCATGCCAGGAGTAGCCCTGGTCATCAGCTGACCACTCACAACACCGGTGGTCATCAGGCAAGTCCTCTATGTGCTCCACAAGGACCTGGTCACAGTAATTCCAACCAATATGTGAATGCACATAGCTTAGAACAACACACCAGCAGTTCGTACAGTGATAGTTCCTCTGTCAAATGTTCTGCTAACACGACTGTAGAGGGCACTACCAGCCAATACAGAACTAACAGTAGCACCCCTGTCCCCTGTGGTAGCAGTAGTATAGATGGCACCTCTGCTCAGTACAGTCCTAGCAGCACTGTCCAGTGTAGTCCTCACCCTGTAGGTGGCACCTCTGTGCCATTTAGCTCACTCGATCAGGTGCAGTAAACTTTAAGAGTGATAATATGCTGTGTTTTTTTTTTTTACTTGCCTAGATTTTTTGTTTTTGTTTTTCTTGTATATATTTACCCTTTGCATGAGTTTCACCACAAACTGTCACTCATTGTTAGCAGAATTTGTGGCATTTCTGATCCTAAGCTCTTCGCTGTGGAATAGTAACAGTTTCCATGGAGATGAAAAAAAGGGATGATAACAAATACCATGAAGACATTGCAGTGCATAAAGGAAATGATAAGCACCATGGAGACATATAATCCTACTCGTGTCCAATGAATTTCCTCTCTCAGAAACAGCCAAGTGCAGCTATGGTCACTGCTCATGGCATGGGCACCATAGAAACAGTGGGTTAATTATATTGTCTTCATCATCTCCTACTTCAACATCTTCACTAAACTGACTACCTCACTCCTGTGTTTGAGCTAAAGTGTGTATTATGAGTGTATCACAGATTCATTAGAGCATGGCTTTTGTTTGGATGGTTAAATCTTTGTGATGTCTTTTCATAGTTTGATGTGGCATTGTGATAAAGTGCATTTTTGTAGATTGGTTAAAGTCTGTGCTGTATTTTATTTAATGGTTGATGTTGCTCATGGTCTTGTGTTTGTGATTCTTCATAGTTGGATCATCTTCTAAGTTGTCTGTATACTTGTGATGCTGGAAGTCATAGTCTGTGAGTACCTATTTTTGTTTTTAGTGCCAAAAACATTCTATTGCAGAAGACTATGGAAATAAATCTCCAGTTTCAGTTATGTGATTGATTGCTGGGCAGGGTATATGTATGCTTGATATTGTGAAGATGTCTCAATGTTTTGACTTTGATTTTTGGACCAGGTGCATTTTCAGCTCTTTTAACTGGAATGATTTCAGCTTCAGTTAATTATCCAGGGTCTTTGTGATTATTCTTTTTCCCCTTAGATTTTAAACACTTAAAAGTGTTTGTGTATATGTGCAGCAGCTATTTTGTGCCAAATTATTCTATTTATTTTAAAAGGCATGAGCTTTATACTGCATGGTTTGCATGCATGAGGGCACTGTCACTGAACACACAGTTTCGATCCACTTTTTATAGGCAGCAGATCAAGTTGTAGAAAATGCCGCACAAGCCACACGGACACGCACAGTAAGCGGCAGCAGCACGGGTTCAGTGATATTCAGACCCCATAATAATGTCAGCAACCTTGGGAACGCGACGTCGCAACGAGTGCGTACCACGAGCACCAATAGTTATGCCAGCACTATCCGCAGATCTAGTTTTCAGGTCTGAATTGATTAATGAATAATTGTTGCCCAAATTGCAGCCCTGCACCTTGTGACCCGCACTTGATTTTTTCGAACTTTTTTCTCAATCTTTGAACACAGTGTGCTTCAAATCTACTAGCATGAATCTGTAAAAAATTAATCAGCTGTTACGCAGGAACTTTGTAAATTTCTTCAATCAGCAGCAAAAATTAGTATTTGCTGTCCAATATTTCAATGTCTGTTCTGTAATCTTTTCTAGGTAATGAGGTTAAGATCTAAATGTTGAATTGATGCTGCTGATTGAAGAAATTATAGATTGATTATGCTTCTGATTTATATATTTTAAAAATAGAAAATTGGCCTAATGTATCTAGTCTTAAGACTGAAATCCATGCCTGCTTGAAGTTATCCTGTTTATGCCCTGATTTCATGAAGATGAGCTTGATTTGAGGTCACCGTGTGTTGATGTATAACAGCATGATAAATCTGTCATATAGCCTCTTTCTGACATGTAATGGAAATCATCTGAGAAAACCTTGAAACGAGGTTGTCAGCACTACATGATATGGGACTAGAAAATGTACGAGGATCAGAATGAGGTGGGATCAACTTTTGGCCAATATTTTTGACTCTGCTCTCCTCCACAAGTCTGACAAATTCTCACTTGATTTTGTGCAAAGTCATAAGGCTTTGGTCTATCTCAGATGATTCCTATTGCTAGTGATTATGCCTGCAACTTACATATAACATGCTGTAGTAAGTAATCTTTCTGCATGCAATCTGTGTCTCAAACTATATAGCACACTGAGAGATTGAATGTTCTGATTCAACCAGTAGTGCACTATCACATAAGGAAGAATAAATAAATCTTGTGAGTGATAAAGCTTTGATCCAACATTGCAATGAGCGCCACCTATATTTCACAGAGAAATGAGGGTCAGTGACCTGAAAGACTGGTCATCTGGCAGGTCAGACAATTAGGTATCTGCTGAAGAGCCCTAGTCCAAGATGTGGGGGAGAGAAAATCTCGGCCCTTCTTAACAGTTCAGTGACAGATTTTTAACACTTGACCATCTCCTCTTTAACTCTCAGTGTTGGATCAATGCTTAACAACTTTGTATGCATATTCATAACACTTTTCTTTTTTAATTGAGATGAATGTTTATTGATATTTCGTGTGTAATGTAATGTAATAGATGTTTTCCGCTTGATCTTGGGACAGGTTTCCTCAAGTTTTGTTAGAACTAGAAATTTCTACTTCCCTTGAAAGTAACCGCTATAGCTTTTAATAACAGCTCAATCTTAATTTCAGCTTGAGTCTAGATAAAACTCCTTAATACCAGGAGAAAGTTTGTTGCATGATTGCCTGTTCTAAAATTTTTATAATGCATTTCGGGCTGTTTTCTCATTCTGATTAGCAAATTAAGATAATTGAGTTGGAGAGTGCTCAGTTTAAAGTATGCTGTGTTTTTTAACAGTTTGAAGTAATTATTATGAAACTAAACTTACTAACAACAAAGCAATATGTGTAACGGTATATAACATGATATAGATCTAATATTGCCATGCAGTTATGTTATATATATAATGTCACTAATATTTTTTCAAGTAAATCACAAATAATTACGTATATATTACCACAATAAAAATATTATTATGCTTAATATTCCGCATTTTGTCTTGATTTCAGCAGAGAAATCTCCACTTTCAAAAATCCTAGGGACAAAATTGTATTTTAGAAAGTTATAGTAAATGCTTTTCTCCTTAAAGCAGCAGCCAGTTCGGCAAGAGTCAGCTGAAGAAAAGCCAGCAGCACCACCTCCAACGAAGGAAGAAAAGAAGAAAGATACTGGAGCCAAAAAGGTACCATAATAACATAAACGTTTCAAGTGTCCAATTTTTTTCTACATATTTTACTTTTTCATAATTTATCATTTTTAGATGCAAAAAAAATGCACTTCCTGACTTTGAATCTTTTTTTTTTTTTTTTTTTTTTCATATTACCATCTAAAAATTTTTTGGTTAAAAGTTTTTACTGATAATTGCACAGTCAGTAACTTCTTTGCAGGGTTGTTTCCGCAGAGTTGTATATTTTTGTATTTGTAAAATTTTTTTTGCAGGGGGGCTGGTTAAGTGGAATTTTCAGATGGCCTAAGGGAAAAAATGAGATGAAATTGCCAGATGACAGTAACCCTTCTGTAAGTATTTTGTTTTATTCTATGTATTCATCCTGCTTTCTTCTTTTCCACCACTCTACCTTGTCTTGGTTACTTTGAGTTAAGAGTAGAATGGTGCATTTTCATTAGTGTGGCAACTAAATTTTGCTGAAATTTAAATCTTTCTTTTAATTTTTTACTTTGAAAAGTGTGTGTTTATATCACATTGATGTGGTTAAATCAGCTGGTGGTACATACCTAGGAGGCAGCTGAGGCGCTCTGCTCCTCTAGTTGTGTTTATATTGTGTTGTAATGGGGACGGGCAACATGCTTATTATATTTCAGATTGTGTGGGACCCAGTCAAAAACCGCTGGGTGAACACGGATGGAGAAGAGGAGGAGACGACTGCGGCACCGCCGCCAAAGGATACTGACCTTATGGGTAAGTGGAGATTTGTTTGCATTTCTTATCTGTTATACAGGCTTTACAATAGATCCTTTCTTTTGATTATTGGGCTGTGATGGACTGACAAAAATGCCAGAGTTGTAGACAGTACATTTATTAAGCCATTGACCTTTTGCAAGATGTCAGATTATGAAAAAATAATGGAACAATTCATTTTCTTGCCAGGCAACTATGATAATAAAAAAAGGCTCTGATAAGTGACGTATGAAGTAAAAAAATATTTTTTTATTATAAATTGTTGCAAAAACAAATAAAAAGGCTCTGATAAGTGACATGTGAAGTAAAAAAAATTATTATTATAACTTGTAATGTTGTTGAAAAAATTCCTGACATATTCTACATTCTAGGTGGTGCCAAGCCTGCTCCAGCTATAGCTCCACCAGGGGGCAGCACAGGTGCAGGTACAGACATGACAGCCCCACCCCCACCTGCTGGGAACAAGTTCTCACGGCCAAAAGCTAGAGGTAAGAGAATACAGACTTGAAAATTCTTGAGAAAATGTCTGAGGATCTAGATGCACAATGGCATTGAAAACTAGAGAGGTCTCTTTGGTTTCCTTAATTAACTTAAAATACACTGAAATCTTGTTAAATAAATTGATTTTTGTATTTCAGAGTATAATTGAAACTAATGGTGTTGACTAATTTTTTTGAGAGCTTTTAGCAATTAACCACTATCTTTGAAAAGTTGTTTTATTTTTTCTCATAAGTACATAGTTATGAGTGTCTGAAAATTAGAAATCTTGAAAAGGTAAAATATTAGAAAAAGAACGGTGTTTGAAATTTAGAAATTATTAACTTTTAACGATTTTACTGTGTGTTGTCTCTTCCCAGGTGCCAGGAACCAGTATGTTGATGTAATGAATCCGACCAGTGCCTCTGCTGCTGGACCCCCTCTAAACCTACTGCCCATGATGCCAGCACCATCTGCCCTGCCTGCCAACCTCTTTATACCTCCTCCAGGTCTGTGATGTGCCAGCAACACACACACACACACATACACACACATGCAGGCACACACACACACATGCACCTGGCATGCACATACACACACACACATGCATGCACCTGGCATACACACAAACACAAACACACACACACACACACCTGGCATGCGTGCGCACACACACACACACACACACACACACTATTAAGTACGGTCTTTGCAACTATTCAACCTTTATTGTTTTAAATTTTCTATATAGAAGGACCCTCAGTATTGATTTTAATAATCATTCAATATTTTTGAAATCAATTATTCCACAGCCTATGCCATTTTTCTATGGAGTTCTAAATTTATAAAATGTTGTCTTCAGCTCCAGAAGGCAGTGATGCACAGGCTGAAGGTGTTGATCAACAACAGCAAAACACTGATCAACAGCAGCATCAACAACAGGACCAACAACAACAACAACAGTTTCAGGATCCATACCAACAACAACAGCAGCAGCAACAGCCACCTCAGTCGCAAGTAAGACGTTTTTTCTTGATCCCTTGAAAATTTGAACAGCCATCCCAACCAGACTGTGGGACATTGTAAATTCATCCCCACCCCACCCTACCCCTTAGCAATTTTCATTTATTATGACTCTTGACATTTGTAATTTCATTAAACTAAACACAGTGAAATACCCGTATTACCTCAGTGAAATATTGTTAAATCAAAGTTTTTTTTTTTTTTTACATTACAGTTCTACAACCCTGGTCAGTTTGCCCAGCAGCAAATACAGGATCAGGACCAGGTAGGTTTTGTCTTCTGTGACACATAGATAGTATAGTGTGTGTGTATGTGTGTGTGTGTGTGTGAGAGAGAGAGAGAGAGAGAGAGAGCAAAATACAGGGTCAGAACCAGGTTTATGTTGTGTTCTGTGTCAGCTAGTATGCAGTGAGATGTTTCTGCACAGACAGAGAAGCCTTTTGCCATTAGGAATTAGCCTGAGGAGACACTGGGCTAGTAAAAATTGACATTTTATATACCACTAGCCCATTTTAAGACCTTGATTTGCCTGAAGGGCTAGTAGCCCAAAACTTCTGTGGCACAGACTGATACAGGGTATCATGATAGCAGTGTGTGAGCATGTGTTATCATCTCATGTACTGGCATGTATGCATAGAGCACGTACAAGCACCCACACCCAGAAGCGTGCGTACACGTGAAGTCTAATGCACAGCATTGAGTATGAAACAACTTTGTAATTCCCAAATCTCAGATTTTATTTTGATCCAGTTTTACCCCTGTATTATTATGCCATGATTTACAATAATATTACATGTTCCCCTAGAGCTACATGTTGCATGGCTGTGGCATGTTTTTTATTCTTTTAATTATATATTATTGTACTTGAAAGCCTGTGTAATGCACCTATATAACACAAACAGTGCTAGGACATTGTAATTTGTTAACAACATTAAGTTGTATTTGGGGCTGGTTCCACAAATTTAAAGGATTTTAGACTGAAAGTAAGTCCTAACTTTTAGATTTCAATTTTTCTTCAGTCCAGGTGTAAATATGCAGTAGTCAGCTAAAATAAAGTGACTAGAGTCTAAAGCAGTTATAGCTTTTTCTTTCCCTTTTTTATTTTGATAAAACAGTGTTAGCTTGGACTAAGAGACTAAATAACAAGTCTATAGTAAGAATGAAAAAAAGCCAATGATAAGTTTAAGTGGACCACCACTGATTTGATTGAAAATGGAAGATTAGGGTCTGAAATTTTAGACAAGCTTTTAGTCAAAAGATCTTTTGTGAAATATGCCCCAGCATTGTACTATGATCTATGATTATTTGGTGACATCGTATCACAAATTTTAAGAACAAGATAGTAAGTTTAATATTTTAGTTACACTTATTAAAACCAACCAAGACCAGAAAATAAATAAATAAATGATAATTAGAAGTAATTAACTAATTTAGGTCTGACTTCAATATCATTACACATAGTAACTTTGCTAAAGTTATGGATGATCACAACACTACTTGGTTCCTAGTGCTTTAAAACCCCTCATCTTTAGTTTTAGAAACTTCAGCTTTACACACTGTATTCTTTATGTTTAAGTGATGTCTTGCAGCAAATTTTAATGCTTGATTATTTTTTTCGTAAAGTGAATTTAAAAGAAGCATTCTCTGCCAGTATTGATGCCAGTATCTCCCCCCCCCCTGAATTTATAACAAGAAAATATGGTGGGTTTGGAGGGGAGGTGGGGGGTGGGGTGCAATAAAAGGCATTTTGCTTTACTGAGTACATAAAAATTGCTTTATGGGTCTGTCATAGTTTCCATTTTGGGTGGGAGGCTGAATTTGCCATTTTGCACATAAATGGGTTGGGAGTCACCTAACTTAGATTGTAGCTCTTTCTAGCGTGATGCTTGCTTTTATTATTATTTATTTATTATTTTATTTATTTTTTTTTTGGGGGGGGGGGTAATAAGAGGTTTAAGCACCATTAAACGCCCTTATACAAACACTGGTATTAAAATGTAGTTCATGGGTTAGTGCCAATAAGCAGTCTCAGCAGTACAAAGAGTAGAGAGTTTGACATGCTGAAAGTGCCCATTCTACTAGCCATGACAGGTTCTAGGACTGATAGAAAAATCTGTTCAATAGTGCCAAGGAACCGACAACAATTAGAAGAATTTCCTTTTTGAATTTACAGTCAGTCTGGCAAAAAATCCTTTCGTCTGGCAAATTTTTCTTAGTTGCCGAGCAAAATGGCTGGCAGTTTTGAAAACGTTCAGCATGTTTGGCCCTGTTCAAAATAAGGGACTAACTAGTCCGAGGGTCTAATATGGCCGACCCACTTGAATACTTCCCCATGGGATGCTTATTCAGTGTCTATAAGAGGATTAGGCAGCACGCTTTGTAATGAGTTGCCATATTTGACCCTAGGACTAGTTAGTCCCCTATTTTGAATGGGGCCTTTGAAGGTGCAGTAGAGTAAGCTAGCTCCATGTAACAGTAGAACTGATCCTTGCTGTCACCCTTTCAGCTGTCGCGCTCCAGTTCCATGAGCTCTCTATCCAGAGAGGTGCAACAGTTTACTCAGGAGGTAAATAACGATAAGGACAAGATCTGTGCTATATTACATATAGTTCTATATTAATGTGTTCTTTACAAATTCTTCCTGTGGGATTTCAGTGTTGGGAGGGAAATGGGAGATCGCAGGTGACACTTAATGGCAGTGCTTTTGTGTAGTTCTACAGTATGATGTTGTTTTAGACATTAACTTGCTTCGATAAAGTCTGTTTTTTGCGACAGTCTTTATTGAGTGTTTGCTTTTCTTAAAAAAAAGAAGCTTGTTTGAATTGGTTTGATAAATGATGCGAAAGCACTGACAAGGGTGTCTTCAAAGTAGAGGTTTGACAACTGGTTTCATAAAAAAAAGCTTGTGTGTTTACTGTCACAGCTCTTGATAAGATATTTATACTGATTCAGAGCCAAACCAATATTGACAGAAAAATTGAAAATTGATTTTTTTTTTTTTTTTTTTTTTGTGAAACCAGTCTCTACTAGATGTTAACTTACAGGCTAATACTTCAACTTTGCATGTTATACTGCTTATAGTTTGTTATTCCTGATACTAAAAAACTATTACTTATTAACCATTCTGAGTGTTTTCAGCAAGCTGCAGGGTACTTACCAAAATATTCACAAAGTTAAATGGTTTTCCCCTGTTGATGTATTCTTTCGATTCTGTTTGGTTGGAAAATTATTTTATTTATTTATTTATTTATTTATTTATTTATTTATTTATTTATTTTAGTTGAGACTTGTTGGTGTTCATAAGATATTTTCATCAGTCAAAAAGATCAACATGTACATTTTTTTTAAGTTGGGCATTTTGTTCTGTTGGGTATGTCTCTCCATTCACTTATGTAAAATTAACTTTTCACCTTGAAAGTTTTTTTGTGTTTTTATTTGAGCCATAAGATATGGACCAGGTGTCTTTACTCACCACAGATACAAAATATTTTTTTTTATGTCACACTTTCCTTGTGAAGGTCAAATTAAAGGTTCAGTTAATTCTTCCTTTGTCACATGAAGATGATTATCTAACAGTACTGAGAATATCACATTAGTGTAACTTGTTAATAATGGTCATAATTTTCACCATTAAGTAGGCAGGTGTTATTTCATATCCTTCAATTGGCACTTCGAGGCATTATTGACTTTTACTTCACTGCAATTGAAAAGCTTTTATTGCACTTATTTATTGCCGTTATTTGTACCTATGATTGACATCTATTTTTGCTACTTTAGATGTTTTATGGTAAAAGAAAGTTTGACTTGATGTATTAAAAAAATTGTGCTTGGATTGGGCAGAAAATGTATGGATAATTTGTCCATGTAGGGGAAAGTCATTGGTATTGTTGTGTTTGTGTAGAGTTAAGGCGTAATTTTGGGGGTGGAACATATTTTTAGGTGGTCATGTTAAAGTTTGAGATTTTCAATATTGTAAATAGCCTTCATTTTAAATGATAATAATTATGTTTGTTTTAATTAGTAAGCCATTGTTTGGCACAATATGTGGATGATGATAGCAGGGTTTTTATCCTGGTCATTCCACAAAAAAAAAAAAAAGTTACTCTCTGAGTTGCATCCAAGATGCATACATTTTGTGTGATATTTGAATAACTGTTTGATATCACTTTTTGATTAACTGTTGATTTCTTTCCACATTGAAGGGTATTACACTATTACTAGTATAAAACAATGTAATTTAGGTGGCAAGACAGAATTATGCAGATGTAAAACAAAATGAGAGCATCACTGATGTAACACAGAGAGTAGAAGTTCTTGTGGAATGACCCTTGGCATTAGTTCAGATGTAGGCTCACTTCTGAGTCCTTTCACGGAAATCTTAAGGTATCACATGTTAAATATTGGAAATTATCTGCGAACAGCAGAAGCACGCTAATTGGTCAGTGTTCTTAGAACTCCAGGATCTTTTTAAAGAAGATGAATGTTTATTATTCTGTATAGTCACTTTTCATTAACCCAGTACTTTTTCTGTTCTATTATTTCTAACCCAGTTTATCTAACATTTCATTTTTTCCTGTTTCCTGATAGGTCTTGAAAGGCTGTGGCTTTTTTAATCTCCGTTATCAGCATACTGCACGCAAGGCATTTTACGCCCTGTGGTCTACATGTTGCTTATTACTCTTATCAGAATCACAGCTAGTTTTTTTGTTTGTTGTTGTGGCACTTTAAGTAGCAGCATGATAAATGTTTTGTATGAACAATTATAAGTGCTTGTGTATTTTTATTCCAATTAATTTTCCTCGGTTTTGCAAATTGTAGCAAAAAATTAGTACATAAATAAAGATTACTAATAATAATAATAATAAAAATAATGAAAAAATCATCAATATCTTTTAAAAAACAGGTGATGCCATGTAAAAATGCCTATAACTGATAATGTTTTGTTATTTATTTATATGAATTTAACCACAAGATGATTCATTTACTTTTATTTAGTAATTTTGTTTTAATTGTTTCCAGGGCCATGACACAGCAGCTCCCCCTAGTGGCCCGCCAATGATGTTCAACCCAGCGTCGTTTGGTGCTCAGCCCTCTTCGGTGCCGGCTGCAGGGCCAGGACGAGGACCAAAGTATGGCCAAAGGAGGCAGTATCCTCACTGAGGACTGAACTGTGTCCTCACTGAGGACTGAAGAATATCAAATGAGAAAGTTGAACTTAATTGCAGATGAAAGATTTCTGGAAACTTCAATAATCTGAAAATTGGGGTGGTGTATTTAGGCCCACTGACCTCCATATAGAACTGCGCGCCAATCAGCCCTTGTATTTTCTGGGTTGTGTCATAAGGTCCGCTTTCATCTCTGCTCAGTGGAGTCCAGAACATAAACAGAATGGTTGTGCGAGTGAGGAACAGTGCCCACTATATGACACTGCAGGAAATTAGACAGGATTTTGGGTAATGTTAAGATGGAAACGGGGTCATTCCTAAGACTGGCAGCACTAAGGCAAGAGATGGAAGGCAAAGTGATATTCCAGGATTTCAGTGAATAAAGGGAAGAAAGGGAGGGAGAAAAAGGCTAAGCTGAGGAAAGATGATTACTCTATGTAAGCTGTTGGAGGTGAACTGAAATCATTATGCTGGTTTTGTGAACCATTTGGCTCAAGTCAAAAGTAAAGATTCAGGCAGTACATGACTGCATAGACAGTGTAGAATATATTAAGTGGAATGCGGGAAGAACCAGGCAGAAATGTACATGAAAAAGAGATTGAAAATTTGCAAAAGGATGAACTAATAGCTAAATAAAACAGGGTCCATGGGCCAATTGACAGATGCAGGATTGCAAAGTTTTGGAACATTTTGGGTTTCTCAGGATGTAACTGTAAGGTTGCACAACAGGGAATACAGCCCTAAGTTAAAACCAAAAGAAAAACCATTGTTGCATTGTGAATATGTAATAAAAAGAAAGGCACCAATATATGGTAGATTTAAATGTTGTTATGCCATGACATACAGATTATTACATAGAAAAGAAAAACCAGAATGCACAGGGAGGCAAGAGATGGATAGCTAAGTTATGAGTTAAGTGAACTTACGTTGTAGTGTGTTCTGGTTGTAGCAAGTAAATAAATAGGTTGTGTTGCATAGGATTTATCCATGAGGAGGTCACAAAAATGACATCCTGACTATTGGCATCAAAATTGATTTTTTTTGTTCTACTGCAGCCATGGGTAGTAATGCAAGAGTATGCATCAAAATTGGTCCAGGGTGGTTGTTATACAACAGTTGGTGCTTACATGAATATTTATATGAATGCTTATAAACAAATTTAGAAAAGAGGACATGCAAAATATTAAGTTTAAAGGATAATAGTGAAATGTATGTGCAGTGCTGGAAGATAAACTGCATACATTTACTATATGACATATACATATTATATGAACCTGCATGTACAAATAACTATGTTTATGTACAGATTATTTCGTATATCTCAATTGTACATAGTTTACTTGGTATTAATATTGTGATGATAACATTTGAGTTTATTTTCAGCTAGCATGCCTTAATCAATATACCAGTATAGGATTTCACTATGACAAAGTCTCATTTCACATACTAATTGATCTTTATTGCTTTATATATATATATATATATATATATATATATATATATATATATATATATATATATATATTGCACAGATTTGGGCAAAACAGATTGCAAGGCATCTGTTTGTGCAATTATAGGTTGGATGAACATTGATAGAGATGATGCTGTGTAAAACAATTAAATGATCTTTTTTGACATTAAAATAGTGTCAAGAACAAATATTTAGAGGATAATGTATGCAGAGGTTTGCAATATATGAAAAGTCTTATTCCTAATATATATATAAAGAAGAACTAATATTAGTGGGTAGGCTTATTGGATCTTTGCATTGAGCTTAGGGAATATGATTTTTGGTCAGCTACCAGATTTTAATGGACTGATTTCAAAGCTTTCAATTACAGAAGATGAAGGGTAAAGCACAAGAACCAAAATGAAATAGGCAGAAGTAATAAGTGATTTCATATTTAACGTAAGATTTTAATTTACTGATTTGAATGTCATCAAATAATCTTAATGGCTCATTAGAATATTCAGCTGCAGAGTTGTAAATGTCGTTTGCCAATATATCTTTGATAAAAACATTGTTAGAAAACCAGTGATACTTCAGATCTATGTAAAAAAAAGATGCATGCCGATTGGTCACAATTGTCGTGTCGTTTTGTTATGGTTGTCGTGATTGGTCAAATGTTAAAATGTTTATATGTTGATGCTCGCGTGCAATGGTTAACTTTTAAAGATGGACACGGAAGAAGGAACTAGAAGTCCTGACAGTAGATGTAATGTGTTTGAAATTGTATCTAATTATTTATATAGTATAGTATTGAATTTATTACGACGTTAGCGTGAATAACGCCAGCAACGCTGGTATTCTACACTAAATAGAACGACTCCAATGGAAATGTATGATGCGTTTACTTTAATTGTCAGTTGAATGGTATACGTTGTTGAGTGATTTGTGAATTATTTACTTGAAAATTATAAAAGGTTGAAAGAGGTCGCCACTTTTTTTCATGAAGCTCGGAAAGTAGTTTTGTTGTAGACGTTATGCATTGCGATAAACCTACATTCAAAAGAAATTATATGGATTATTATCGTTATAAGTACCAGTGTTATTCAAGCTCAATTGGCCCATGCTCTCGCTGTTAATAACGGTGGGGATGATATTGTGGCAAATCGATTGATTAATCGGATCCTATTGTTGCACTTTTGTTGATTTATGATATATGATATTCTGAGTAATAAATTGTCACATCATCGAAATGGCGTTTAGTTTTATGTATCAAGTTTGGTACATATTTTCTGTTATTATAATTAACAATTCTGTTAAAGAATTGTTCCAGTTTGACTATTCACTATCCCCTCCCCATCTGAGACCATTGAATTCTACCGGTGTCATGTGCAAGGTCCGGTGTAACGTGACTGATAGTCCCCTCCCCTATGATAGAGAGTCCGCTTCCCATTCATTTATACAGGCAACCCTCGCCCTAGATTTTGACCCACTTAAGTCAGGCTAAACCTAACCTTTGTAACTAAAAGGAGGGGGGACTTTCTGTTACACGGACCGTCAGTTTCGTTACACCGGTTTCCATGAATTTAGAAAGCACCGCCCTAGGTTATACCCCACTCGACTCACTCTAACCCGTATGAATCAAATTAAGGACATCCTCTGTTAAAGAATTGGCCCATCAGTTTCTTAACGTAACATAAATATATGCCTTCCATTGTTTTCCAAAATTAGTTTTGGGCCTCTTTGCATGTCGACCATCTAATACTAGTCATCCTCAAAAAAAAAAAAAAAAAAAAAAAAAAATGGCGACAATGACGGTGTTACTGAAAAGTTGGCTGATCGTCTCACTGTTGTAAATACAGGGTGTACAAAGTTTGGCCGACATTATTTCAATGGCTGAGCTCTAATTATGGGAACAGATACAATGTATACACATTTCTTAATCAGAAGTGGTACCGCACACACGTATCATTGAAGAAAGGGCGGCAAATTCAAGAAAAAATATAGCTATATAACGTCTCTCAAGTTCCTGTTTGCGTATTCTGATCTGAGAAACAGACTGGGTACATTTTTAATGACCTTCGAGTTGCCGGGTAGAAGATACCTCGTGTTATCTTTTTCCTAAATGTAGGTACACACGATCCAAGTCATAGACCACTGATTTGATTATTGTTGTTGTTAGGCAATAATCTTCAACGAGTTTGTTGACATCCGGAGATCCAGGGCAGTGCAATTTTATGTGTACCAAAAATAAATAAATAAATAAATGAAACAACTGGATGATTCTACAAATTAGACGTAAATATATAAAGGTATATCTTCTAAAAGCCGACGACCTTGAGAACAATCAGCATGTTTTTTTATGATGATCCTTCAAATATCCTGCGTTCGTCCTTAAGTAGTTCACCTAAAGTGTAGGGCCTATGTGCATGTGATGAATTTGACAGCGGCTTATCATCTTATCCTGACGTTGCGCCACGTACGTGACAACGAGACCCTTTCAGATGGGCTCAAGCTTGACCTCTGCATGGCGAACGAGCTATGTCAGTCACAGTGAATTGAAAACTGTTTAATAAATTACTCCTGTAATCCGCTTTACGGGGTTGTATCCTGCAAAGGAGTGTAGAACCGTAGGAGATTAAGGAGAGAAAGTGCCAACACAGGTGTTGCCTTCTAATGCCAAAGATGTATCAGCGTGCCTTCTGGCTTCCGTTGTTCCTTGCAGTCCTCTTAGTCTCTGAAAGCACAGGTAATTTTTTTATATAAATTAATAATATTTTATCTTTTGATACACCGTAAAGTGGATCGTTATTAATCCCCGTCTTTAAAATAAACAAACAAATCAATAAAACTGAAGCGTCAACGTAAAGGTATAACTAAGTATTAACACCTATAGCTCATGGCAAATAAGCAACGTGACTTTTTTAGTTCCAAGTCAATCTCCTGACACAAACAAATGCCGATTTTAATGGGTTTAGACTGAGAACTGCAATCTCAGAAATCTAACCTAAGTGCCTTCTTGTTAACGCTAATGATGATAAACTGTCACACAGAAAAAAATACTTTTTCGTTCCAGAACCATATAAACAAATTCAATTTGAAACATTGGTTTTGAACCTTTGACTCGGGCATATCTTGAAATAGCTTGAGTGAAAAAGCTTCCAAAGTATTGAATCCGTACTTTTAGACAAACCTTTTACTTAGACGCTCATTATAAACATTAACCTGTTTGCACTAGTGTTCCATCCTCAGAAAAGTGAACATTGGAGCCACAGAACTGAAGCACAAATTTTGTGTCCTATTTGCATGATTTTGGCATGCCCCATAATTTTCATTATTTTATACTATGGTTCCCTCAAATGTGGAAAGAAATCAATAGTAATTAAAATGATATCAAACACACATGTAGATATTAAACAAAACGTGTCACTAAATGGAACTGTGCATTAGCGGCCTGAATACTCATCATTATCTACATATACAATCATCAGCGGCAACACTAGCAGCAATAACAGTGCCATTTTCAAACTGAAACGTATAATATTTGGGAAAAAATCCTGACAAAAAGTAAACGTTTCATTACAGCCGTCCTTAAGGGGCTATGGTCGTTCAATCAAGACTCATTCACGCCAGGAAACTCATTCAGCGACAAGTCGAGGCAGATTAATAAAGCAATTCTCAATCCGGGATCTACCGCAACATTTGGTTCTGGATCTGGAACAGGGGTAAAATTATCATCCGGTGCCTATATCTCCGTGTCCAACACTGATGGGGCATTCAGTAGCATGCTTGGAAGCTTTGCCGTAGTAATGGCGATAAAACCAACGGCACTGCAGCCGGCCACTCTGTTTGAGTTCGACAGTGATTATGGATCCGGATACGGATCCAAAATAGAAATGGTTGCGGATCCAGCAGGATCGCTGAAAATCTTCGCCCTGCCGCCTCTCTATGGGGATTTCAATGCAAGAACTGTTCAGGGGGTTCTGAAACGTCGCAGCTGGAACTATCTCACCATTTCCTACGATTACCAGACAGGATCAATGAAGATTTACAGCGGGTCCGATTTAGTCAGAGACTATCAACTCACAGCGTTCCCAACATCTAATACAAAAGGGTTTCGGGTAGGAAAAGGGTTCACGACGTCTTCAACATTTACAGGCCAAGTAGCGTGCGTGCAGGTGCACGACCAACCCATTACGACCAGTGCCAGCCTTCAAAAGATGTGGAAACTCTGTGGATATGAAGGTAGGTCACATTTCTCTTTCTTGAAATACCCCTTTGCAATTTTTGAAATGCTTTACTTGTGATAAAGGCGATGGACCTTCTTTGTTGATATTTCTTCAATGCATTATGTATTATATTGGTTGCATTGATATTTAATACTACACAAATGACATATTCTATTTAGATTTATTTTCATATTTTAGTCCCTTCGGTTCGGGATTCTCGACCTGCAGGTAAGACCATTTTAAGTCTTCTTGACTTGTGTCAAAGTCTCACTCCGCGGTTGCACAATTATTTTCTGTGTAATATGTTCTACAACTCAGATGTACAAATTTAATGTCGCCATGCAACAAAATGTTGACAAATAGCGACTTTAGTCTGTGACATTTCATGCATTTAAAGAAAAAATAAGTTGAACGCTTCCTTGACGCTGCCACGGTAGACAATTGCAAATGAGCGTCTGCGCACTGAATTCGTCCTTACAATGTTTGTACTAACACAGCCTTAGGTCTTTTATCCTTTCACCTTCAGGAGTTACTGAAGTATCCATTGTAGAAACATTTGATTAAGTTTTCAGGCTTTTAACATGTTCTCTCTGTCATAGCTTGTCCCATATTAACGTATCTACGCACAGTATATTATGCATCACATGGCATTACAGTCCCATACAAATTCATGTATTAATGAAATACATTTCAAGAAAGAATTGTAATTATCATTGTATTCTAACAATTCATAAAATTAGAACGCCGTACTAATATATTTTCATGTTCATAAAAATTTTTGTAATCTTTTTACAAATTTTGTTTTACTCAAATATTATTGCAATGATATAGACTCAGGTTGCCGAGGAAAGTACGCTACATGTACATCATGTGTATAGGAATAAGACCGGTACTTTGATCAATATTAACTTTGCATAATTATCATCATAGAATCTTCTATCAAAAGGTTGCCTAACGCCCATAGACCTCACCTTTGCTCTGGACGGTTCGTCTAGCATGAAGGACGAGCTCTTCATCAGCCAACTGGACTTCGTGCAAAACATGGTCGCCACGTTCGCTGTCGGGCAGTCTAAAGGTACCGCTTCGATCTTTTTTTCCGTCTTATTTTAGGTTAGAAAACATACCTACATACATATTTTATGTCTTAATTGTCGCCAAAGTTTTTTCAGTAATTGCGTTGACAAAGACCCGTGTACAAATTAGAAAAGACATTATCACTATCCACTACTGGTATATCTGTTATATGGAATGCTAAACCATCACACCTGTTTGTAAGTTGTTGCTTGTTTCCATCTGGGACTATCTAAAGTTAGGACACACCACTGGGTAGCTACATATATCTGATATTATTATCAGTGGCGGATCCAGAATATTTGAAAGGGGGAGGGGGAGGGTGCGGTTTTTTAAGGATTGACAGGCCTTGGATTGCAAGGCCGACCTTCACCCCCTTGGCGTCAGGTTCCGGACACGCTCGAGGACCCGAAAAAATTGGTGTTTTGGAGGGGAAGTGGCGCCATCTGGTACGGTTTAGAACTATGATTCAGCAAAGACATTGTTTGAAGCCTTTTTTATCAGAAATCGAAGGAGGGAGAGGGTCAGGACCCCCCCTGACACCCCCTTAATCCGCCAATGTATTATCATAACATTGCATTTTTTATTATTTTAGATCACGTTGGATTTGTAAGCTACGGCACAGAAATTGGCACATCTGTGGGTCTTAACAAGTTCAAAACAACGGCGGAGGCACTTGAAGGTCTTGGAAAAATAACCCCTCCTAAAGGGCGGACTAACACCTATCTGGCGATAGAAGATATGATCAAGACACTGAATAAAGGTAAGTTGTGCATGTTATATTAGTTACACGTCCACCCTCCTGGTCGCTCGCATGCATGCACACAAACACACCACAAACACATAGTAAAATGGATGTGCAACCCGCAAACTAGAATTAGATATATTTTTAATGCTGAAGCTTTTGTATCTTCATTCTAAGACAAAAGAATAATAAATTAACATTTTCTCAAACCACCTTTTCATTGTAACAGAGCCCTTAGATCCATAATAACTCCTTTCTCTGTCGCTCTCTCTCAAGGTGCACGCACTAACGTTCGCAAAATAGCTATCATTTTGACGGACGGACAATCTCATAATTCGATACAAACAAACAAGGCCGCCAAAAATCTACGTGGTTTGGGAGCTGAGCTCTACGTCATTGGTGTTGGGGTAAAAGACACAACGGAAGTGACGAAATTAGCGGGAGATGCCTCCAGAGTATTCACTACGACAGATTTCAAGAATGCGCTAGATCTGAAACGTAATATTGGATCTGCTGTTTGCGGGGGTAAGTCTTGGTGGAAATGACCCTAATATACTTTTTGTAGGGCCAAAATATCCACACACTGAAGTTTCAACTACCGGTCGATATAAAAACTTGTGGAAATATACATGCGCAAGGTCCCATGTATGTTTTATATTGCACACTTGTGCAATTTTTCCATTAGTTTAATTTGTTATACCTTCACTTGATGGTCTTATCCATCTATAGAGAATATTCCCAGAGACTATCGTACTAATTTTGGATCGATCTATCTCCAAGGGAGTTCTCACTAAATTGCTAACAAGTTAAGCGGCTTAGATGTCGCGCATGCCTACTGAAGCAGTTAGAGGGTAATTAACTATTGTTTAGCAGCTTTAGTGGGCGTGCCAGACATCTACGCCGTTTATGGTAAAAGCAATCTAGCGAGAAACCCCTTGGAGATGGGTCGATCCAGTAAGATCGATCTAGGCATGGGAACCCAGTCTATGGGTGTATTCCCAGAGATTTTGATCGATCCAGAGATTAAGGTTTAGATCGACCTAACTCCCTGGGGGTTCACGCTAAATTGCAGTCAGCCGAGCGAGCACCATAGTTAATTACCACCTTACAGCTTTCAGTAGGCGGGACAGACGCTTAAGCCGGCTAAGCTGAAAGGAATCTAGTGAGACTCCCCACAGGGATAGATCGATCTAAAATCTATTGAAATGGGGTCTATGTCTTTGCAGTGCATGCATCACTTTATTTACTTATTACTTTATTTCTTGTTGCACTTACGCACATATCTAAAACAAATTTGTTTAGCCATTTGTATGAATAATGCAATTGTAAAATACCAGTCTGCCTCACTTTTATCTCTTTTCATCACTAATAAGAACACACTGTCATGGAAAGAAATAACACACTAGTGGAACATAACTTGAGAACATATGAATATTTGCATTGGTTTTGTTGTAGATAAATGTTCCACAAATGTGTGCAAAAACGGCGGCACGTGTCACAAGGGAGCTGGTGGTAAGGAACGCTGTGATTGTGCCCCCGTCTTCACTGGCGACAGGTAAGACCTCTCTGATATCCTTAAAGACTGACATTTGTATCTTTGCAAAAACGTGTTTTTTAGAGAATGGTAAAAAACGGTACGGAATATGTTTAAAAAAGTACCAAAAGACCTCCAGTGTATGATCTCTTAATGGGAACAGTTGTAAAAAAAGTACGCCATGACTTACTTGAATATTATATTGTGTGATTCAGATGTGAGACAAACATAAACCAATGCGGCCTCAACAACCCATGTTTGAATGGTGCAACGTGTAAGGTGGATCTCAAGACTGCTGCCGTCGTCTGCTCTTGTCCGCCTGGGTTCAGTGGGAAATTGTGTAATATTAAAGATCCCTGCGCTAGTCTTATCTGTGCCAATGGTGGAAAGTGCCTAGCAAATGGAAAGAATGCCATTTGCAACTGCCCGAAAGGGTTCGCCGGTGATAGGTGCCAAACCATAATTTACTGTGCCTCACACCCTTGTCAAAATGGCGGGAGCTGTCAGGAGGGCAATGGGAAATATTCTTGTGTCTGCCAGCGAGGGTTTTCTGGGGTGAACTGTGAATTGCCCATTGACCATTGTTTGTCATCACCCTGTAAGAACGGTGCAAGCTGCTCCAGCGTTCCCGGTCAGTACATTTGTGTCTGTGCCGCCGATTTCACGGGTAAAACATGTGATAAGAAGATAGACAATTGCGCGTCCAGACCATGTCAACATGGCGGCGCCTGTGTGGATGGAATCAATGACTTTTCTTGCAAATGTCCAAATGGGTTTAAAGGGAAAACGTGTAGCGAAATCGATGGGTGCCACTCAAACCCTTGCCAGAATCAGGGTTTCTGTGTCGCGGTCGACAAATTGGGAGGGTTTAAGTGTACTTGCCGTGCAGGATTCACGGGAACCAAATGTGAGAGCAATATAAACGAATGTGCATCGCAGCCGTGTGTCAATAACGCTACATGTGTGGATGGTGTGAACTCGTTTTATTGCCAGTGCTTCCCGGGCACCGTGGGATCAACTTGTAGCATAGTTACGAACGGTTGCTGGTCAAGCCCGTGTATGAACGGCGCCACGTGTAAAGGGAGGTTTGGAGGCTACACATGCCAATGTCCACCAAAGTATACCGGCAAAAATTGCCAAACTGAGATCAATTTCTGCGCTTCGAACCCATGTCAGAACGGCGCCACGTGCATTGACGGGAAATCCGGATTCAGCTGCCGGTGTCTCAAACACTTCACAGGGCCTACTTGTGGGACAGCGGTGGATTACTGCGTGTCTTCGCCATGTCGTAATGGAGGCACATGTCAACGAAAACTTGGCGGCTACACATGTAAGTGCAGTGCATCATTTCAGGGGATTCACTGTGAGACTGCAGTCGACTTTTGCCGATCTTCACCGTGTTTAAACGGTGGCAAATGTACAAGTCAGCTGAGCGGATACCAATGCGTTTGTCCTGCGTTTTATACCGGCAAACAGTGTCAGACACAGATAAATTTCTGCAATTCTTCTCCATGTTTGAATGGAGCAACGTGTATCAGTATGTTGGGCGGTTACAGTTGTAAATGCAGTCCTTTTTACACCGGTAAAAATTGCCAGACGCAGGTAGATTTCTGCAAGTCGTCCCCATGTTCAAATGGAGGTATATGTGTACCTCAGCTTGGTGGCTTTAAATGTAAGTGCCCTGCTTTCTACATGGGTAATACATGCGGTACTCAAATCAATTTTTGTCTGTCTAACCCCTGCCAGCATGGCTCCACGTGTCAGCCTAAACTTGGAGGTTATTCTTGTAGTTGTAACAACCATTACACCGGTAAACAGTGCCAGACGCAGGTAGATTTCTGCAAGTCGTCCCCATGTTTGAACGGAGCAACATGTAACAGTGTGTTGGGGGGTTACACTTGTAGATGTTCTGGTTTCTTCACCGGTAATCATTGTCAGACGCAGATAGATTTCTGCAGGTCGTCCCCATGTTTAAATGGAGCAACTTGTAACAGTGTGTTGGGAGGTTACAGTTGTAAATGTGGTCCTTTTTACACCGGTAAACATTGCCAGACGCAGATAGATTTCTGCAATTCCACTCCATGTTTGAACGGAGCAACTTGTAACAGTTTGTTGGGGGGTTACACTTGTATTTGCGGTCCTTTTTACACTGGTAAACATTGCCATACGCAGATAGATTTCTGCAATTCTTCCCCATGTTTGAACGGAGCAACGTGTAACAGTGTGTTGGGAGGTTACAG